CCTGTTTTTTAACCCAAGCAGCAGTACAGGCAAAGACATGTTAGAGACTGCAGAAGACAAATAGAGTAACGCATGGATTATAGGAAGCAAATTAAATGCAATTTAACCACAAAAGGCACTGAGGGTCTTCCCCTCCCTGCTCAGCAGTGAGCAGGTTATTATCCGGAAGAGACTTTTAATAAGACTGTTTTTACTCCTCAGTGAACAGCATCTCTCGAAGGAAGATGTCTGTCTTTCACTAGTAATATCTGGAAACAGAAAAAATTAGAGGAACTCAAAAGTTGTGTAGAATCTCAGCAGCTTACATGGGGGAATCTGAAATGCACACTTTCATTTCTGTTGTGATGGTGAAATGTAAATCAAGAAGTTAAATTACTTTGTGCAGGCATAACGAAGAAAAGGAAAAATTGGGAGGCTCCCTCCAAACATCTAGAATGTTTGAAAGAATGAACCATCAATTAATGCTTTCCACATTGACTTGTTGATGAAGTCAATGCCACAAACCATCATTACCCGTCACAAAAGAAGGGACACTCTCAGGGTCACATCCAGGAGATCATCCATTTCTTCCAGTGAGCTAGAGGCTGTGACTTCAGAGAGAGGTACCCAGTTTGTGTCCTTCAGATGTTCTTAGACTATGACTCCAATTCCCTGTGGGCAGCATAGCCAAAGGGATGGTGGGAGTTGCAGTTGATCGATGTCTGGAAGGACAGATCCTGAAGTTGAGGCTCCAGTACTTTGGCCATCTCTTGAGAAGAGAAGACTCCCTGGAAAAGACCCTGATGTTGGGAAAATGGGAAGGCAAGAGGAGAAGGGGACGACAGAGGATGAGATGGTTGGACAGTGTCACCGAAGCTACCAACATGAATTTGACTAAACTCCGAGAGGCAGTGGAAGACAGGAGGGCCTGGTGTGCTCTGGTCCATGGGGTCACGAAGAGTCGGACAAGACTTAACGACTAAACAACAACAATGTCTGGAAGGCCATACATTTCCCACCCCTATCCTAGAAAATGCCTAGAAGTCCTCTCCTATGGTTGAAAACCTCAAGGAAAGATCCATCCATTTTACCATATCATCTTTGATATGATAAAATTTCTTGTAGCTCATTAACAAGTGTTTTTTTTTTGGGGGGGAAAGGGGGATTATTTCCCATTTGGGGAAATGGAAAATAACTGGAACCGGAAAGGAGAATTCAGAAATAATGTAAGTCCATTTGAAAGAGATATGCCAATTACTTGGCAAACCAAAGCCCCTCCTGAGGTTTAGCTGATCACTGAATTGGTGCACCCTGGCACCGAATACCTTCAGGTCTGTCTGTCACTAATTTTGCTTTCCCTGCAAACACACACTTTTGCAAGGTAAGTCTGGAACAAGAGGGGGAGGAGCAAACATAACGAAAGGAGATGTTTTAAATAACAAAAGCCACAGATTCATTATCCCACTATCCTTCTTGCAGGGGTGGAAGTTTCAAAGCAAGCTTGAAGGTCTGCAATCTGTTATTGGAAACGCTGGGACAAATTGCTTTCACTCCTCCTAGTCTGAGTAAACCAGGAGGAACTGAGTGTGATAAATCCCAGGAATTTTCTGGATGTCTTCTGGATCTTCCAAACTTTCGGCAAGGTGTCTTTCAGGAGACCTTAGGCACAATCAATAATCTTTTTTCTTAGAATTGACACCAACCCTCAGAAGTGTTGCTCATGTTGGCAGGAAGAGTGCGACCTTTATGATGTAGCTGTGACTTCCCTAGCTTTTCCCCCTCCTCTTTCTTACTTTATGAAGAAGGTTTAAGGAAATAACAAATCTGTAGCAGGACAGCCTTCAGAACACAGAAGTCTAGCAGGGATCTCCAAATGGGTGTGATATTTCTGAGCTCTCAGATAATTTGGGGAGACAATGGTGTTCTTCCTATTAATTCTCTGAATATCTATGGAGACACTAGGCTGAGTCTAAATCGCACACACAGAGATATGCCTTTCTAGGTCACCTTTTGAGGCATGGCCTTCACAAGCCGGCTTGTGTCACAACCACCAACACCACCCTAATAGTCATTATTATGGCGTTTCTACAAATGCAGAATCCCCCTCCACTTATTTTGTAAACCAAGAAATGTCAGAATCCCTCAGAATGCAGCCAAGAATCACTGCAAAACAGGGTTAAATTCTGAATCCAGAATCCAGTGGAGCTACAGTTCCGACAGGGGTAGGTGCGCCTGAAAAGAAACATCTGTTGCTTTCAACAGCATGCCAAGTGCCCACAAAGTTGGAGGAGTTGAGTTAGGATGGTGGGAATGATGATGCTTCTGCACATGCTCAGAGGTGCTCTCCGCCATTCCAAAGCTGAGAGCACTTTCCAAGGAGCACATTCCTGACTCCAGCTTTGGTGAGCTCAAGGAAAGTCAGATGTGGCAGATTTTTTCCCTCAGCCTCTAACTTGTTGCAGTGAGCTGATGGGACGGGGCAAGAATTTCAGCAAATTTCCAGAGAGAGAGAGAGAGAGAGAGAGAGAGATGGGGGATGAGGGATGGGTGGAAGGAGAGGCTCCCAAACTCCTCCCGCCCCTTTGGCAGCGGGGAGCGGAGGAAGCAAAGAAGAGAGCGTGGATGCTCTCGCTTCGGAGTCACTCCAGTAGGATCGGCGCGTCTCCCCAGCCCCGCCAGCCGAGTCCCCCTCCCTCCCCCCCTCCCACGGCCTTGAGATTCTCAGAGAGAGGGGGTGCTTCTCCAAAGGAGGGACCAGAAGCGAGAGGCAACCCTGCCCTCCTCGGATGGAAGTCGGCTTGGCAAGCGAGCAGGGACCACGTCAGCCGGCCCCGAGAGGGAGCGAAAGAGAGGTGGGGGGGGTGGGAAAAAGGAAGATCCGGGACGTCCGTGGGATGAGAGGGGGAGGACGCCCGACCAATCTAAGGAGGCGGTGGAGAAATCCGGGAGGGGGGATGAGGAGGGGTCTCTGCTTTGACTCCAAGCAGAAATCTGAAGCACGCTTTCTTGGAGAGCCAGATCCCTTGTGGCTCATGGGATTTGCTACCGAGCGCAGGGGCTTAGAAGTTAGTACAGAGGCTGGCTTCGGTTGGAGTTTTGGCGACCCCCCCTTCCCTTCAAGTAATGCAGGGGACCCTCCTTTTTCTGGAGGCTGAGGGCGGAAGAGGGGCGAGGCGGTCAGTTAGAGACAGAGGTGATGCCTCTGGGCTCAGAGGACTCTCATATTTCCCCACCTGTAAAATGGGACCATCGCCGAAATACCTGGCTAGGTTGTTAACCCAACTAAAGGGGACCAACTGGAGGCTGTCTTTTGCTGACTAAGCAAGTAGCGAAAGGGAGGGGGGATGTACAGAAGGAAGAAAGGAAAAAGTACACCCAGAAGAGAGGCAGGCGGGGCCAATGTGCTTCGACGTGAAATTGCCTAAAACTGACTAGCGCACGGAGAAGATCGCTGAAAGCATTTCTTGCTGCTTTTAATGCATGGGGACTGTCCAAAGCACTGAGCTGGGAAGCTCATTCGTAGGCTAGACTAATCTTAGAACCGCAGAGCTGGAAGAGACCCTGGGGGTCATCCAGTCCAGCCCCCGTGAAAGAGGCACAGTGGGGAATCGAACTCCCAACCCCCGTCAAAGAGGCACACTGGGGAATCGAACTCCCAACCTCCGGCTCCGCAGCCAGATTCCTAAACCTCGACCTAGTTTAGTGCTAATTTGTGTGACATGATTTTTTGGATTCGGGGTTATGGGCAACGTTTCTGCCTTGAGCTCTTGCAGAGTGAGAATCAAAGCGGAGAAGTCGGTCTCTAGATGGTGCCCTATGTGGGACTGCCAAACTGAGAAGGTGCCTCCCAGGATGCAGGCACACTGCCCGCTTGGCAGAGCCTGGGAAAGTTCTTTTTCTGTGCGTCTGGACTACAACTCCCAGAATCCGCAGCTTTTCTGAACTCTGGCATTTCGGAGCAGAGAAGAGCGTTGGTCGCCCAACACAAGAGCTCAGTGGCTTAGGCAGATGAGGAGTTCGATTCCCCAGGACGCCTCCGTGAGAGGGGCTGGACTCCATGATCCATAGAGTCCCTTCCAGCTCGGCAGCTCAGAGATTATTATGAGCACAAGCCAAATGATTCCCCTTTTCCAGCCTCAGTCCAAACCTAGTTTCTTCCAGTGTAGCTCCGTTCCATAGACTACGTCGGGATAAGTGAAGGACAGAGAAAGGACTGAAAGCAACTCCATAGGCGTCAGGATACTCCTGCTTTTGAGAAGCATCGGGGGAAATTACCTCGTTTTTGGACCGCAGCTCCCAGAATCCTCTAGCCAGTGGGGCTTCTGGGAACTGTAGTCCAAAAAAGTTTTTTAAAACCCCCAGTTCTGAAACTCAAGGTGGATGCTAAAGCCATCAGGGTCCGACGTGCCCAGACGTCTCCCTTTGCCGGCTCGCTTCTCTCGGCCGTCACCTGGTTGACAGACCCTGGACAGCTCCCGCTTTGAACGCTGCTCGCTTCGCTGCCTGCCCGCCGAGTCCCAGAAAAAAGTCTCTCTAACGTGGAAACCTCCCCCCGAAAGAAAAGGAGGGGTGAAAATTGGGAGGGGGAGGGGGGAGGGGAAAAAAGAGAAAAGAATCCAGACAGCCAGTCAGATTTTCCTTTATAAAGCCTCAAAGTGTCCACGTCCTCAAAAAGAATGGAACCAATTTAAGGTCCCCACCTCACCTAGGACTGCTGCTCAATGACACGGTCAAAATTAGTGCGCCTTCCTCTTCCCTCTCCCTTCCTTTCGCTCTGCCTTCCATCCCACCCAGAACAGCTGCCAAAACTGCTGGGACAGGTTGAAGGGGGAGGTCACGTGACGAGCCCCAGGCTCCCGGGCGCGCCACCCTCCACACACACACACACACACACACACACACGCACACGCCCTCTACCCCCCCCCCCCCTGCCAGAGGTTCGCCGACCTCCCATTGGCTGCGGCGCGTTCCACGGCTCGGCCCGCGCGAGGAACCTCCTGCCGTATAAATAGGGCCGTCGAGGGCTTTATTATTTTAGCATCCCGGGCAGCAGGTTTCTGCTAAGTTTGGAGTTACGCGCCCCCACGACTGTATGCCCGCGTCCCTCAGGTCCTAGCTCCACCACCTCCACCGACCCGACAGGGACTTTGAAACACAAGGAGTCTGCATGTCGAGCAAGTAGACATGCTCAGCTTTGTGGATACACGGATTTTGTTGCTGCTCGCAGTAACTTCATGCCTAGCAACCAGTCAATGTAAGTGTTTTTAGCTTGTTCGGAGCCGGGCGGGGAAGGGAAAAGTCTGCTGGGGGCACGGGGGGGGGAAGAGAAGTGCCCTGCCGTGGTGCTCTGCCCTCGATCTCTTTTCTGGAGGGAGAACCAAGAGGTTCTGGGCAGTTGGGGGGCCGTTCTCCAAAAACGACGGCAAGACTACCGCCAGTTTGCGGGTCGTGCTGGCTGAGGATGATGGGACTCGTGATACAAGGCGCCTGAAGGCACCAGATGGGAGCGAGCTTATAGGTTCGCCTCTCCTCCGTTTCCATAAGAGAGAGGGATGGTTTTTTTTTGTTGTTGTTGAAAAGTCACTGAAGCCCCCACTGCACTCCCTCCCCCACATCCATCCCCGGCTCTAATATGGGGTTGTTGGCAGGAAGCCAAATCATCTACGCCCCCTCCCTCTCCTCCACCCACGCACTCCAGTCTCTTGGAGGAAAAGAAAGAAAGAAAGAAAGAAAGAAAGAAAGAAAGAAAGAAAGAAAGAAAGAAAGAAAGAAAGAAAGAAAGAAAGAAAGAGGGTGGCATTAAAAAAACAAAACAAAACAGCAAGCAACTCCTAACCAAACCAAAATTTCAAACAGACACCATTAGATTGCCTTTTACCGACGGGGACCTTTTGGTCCTCATTAATTCGTAGGGTCGCCATAAGTCTGTGGTGACTTGAGGGCCCATTACAAGATCGATACTGAGAATAGTCGATATTTTAATCAGGTCTGCATTATCAACCTTGGAGAAGTTTAAAGATGATTGCTTTAAAAAAAAAGCCCCGCGTTGCGGAAGAAATTCGGAAAACAACAGAGCATCAAATCTTAACGAGCGCTCCCTTTTTAGGGCGTTGTACTTGAGCTTTGTGTAGCGCCGGAGCGCTGCAGACGCTCGCAAGGCGCCCTCTAGAGGGAACGAGGCGATAGCGCAGGGCACCCGGCACTGAGGTCTGGAGTCCAGACGGAATTGAAATCATGAAAATGTTAGTATTATCGTTTCTAAGAGGTCTTCCTTGCTTATCACACACACACAAGGAGAGAACAGGAAAAGTCCTTGAACTTCTTGCGGGTCAAGTTGTTCCAAAATGTTTTTAAAATATACTTTGGAAGGGGGAGAAGATCCTTTCTGAAAACTACGACCAACAGAAGTTTTGAGTTTCCTGGTCTTTTTGTTAAAGAAATAAATGGATGTGACTAATGGCTATTCCAGAAATCTTCCAGTGCGTTTTACTAAGCCCTGGCGACCCCTTCTGGTAGAGGAAATATGAAGAGATTTTCCTGCCAAACCATATACCTTTTTAAATGCAGGATGAGATTCAACAGCTGTTCTACACTTGGCAAGAACGTTTTCATAAAAAAATATATATTCCTTGAAATAATATTACTCCCAGTCTCCTAAATTTTCAACTTCTGGGTAATGACTTGGGGGAAAAACTGAGATGAGAAAGCGAAGTCTGGGCAGATTAATCCCCAGATGATAAATATCTGTTATGTTGGTATGTAAGGTCAGGATGATTGCTGAGGTAGATTAAGCTGAGATACAGCAATCCCTCAAAGGCCACTTACTCGGTTTCATAACTGAGCATGGACTTAAATTTGGTTTTCTTGTGCACAAAGGAAAGTTTCCAACCAGCTCACCATGTGAGACATGAAGATCATCTTTTATTGGATCTACTTCCATCAGTGTGGGAGCAGGCAAGCTTTAGTATCCCATCTGCCTGAGAAAGGATTCTGAGTAGCTCAAAACCTTGCATTCTGCAAAAACACAGGCTGGTCTACCAAAACATTGTCACCATAACTATTTTGAATATTTGCAAGCAATGAACTTCACATAAGCTCATGCAGTACATCTGTGTGCCAGTAAATCCTAAAATATGTAGCATGTTGCCCTGCCACGTTTTGTCTGGCAGTCAGCTGACTTCACATAAGCTCACGCAGTACATCTGTGTACCAGTAAATCCTAAAATATGTAGCATGTTCCAAGAGTTGTATCTATTACCATAAAGGAAAGCACGCCCTGCCACGTTTTGTCTGGCAGTCAGCTGGGTTTTTGGAGAAAGTTGGCAGTCAGGGATTTAGTTTAGGAATTGCTGCAGTTAATGCCACCGAGCAATTCAAAACAATAAAGGAGGAGTTTCATCTTCCTGGTTTAAGCCTATCTTCTGCAGCTGAGGCAATGTTAGGATTCACTGCTCCCTCTAGTGGCAAGTAGAAAAACAGCTGCTTCTTCACCAAAAAAAGTTCTGTTCATAAAGATAGATCGTACAGTATTTTCCAGAAGAATATCTGATATTATTCAGTCTTCTTACAGGGACCGTGATTTTAATTTCTTTGTTCACCCAATGCTTGAGATAATCCAAATGCAGTACATGAGCCACTTCTACCAAAACCCACTTATCCAATGCTATTCCTCCCAAGACAGTAAAAGCTTCCGATTATTCTTGATCAACTTTGCTTTTAAATTTTATCATCATCATCCATTGGAAAAATTAAGCAAATTGTAGGCTTTTCACCCAGTCTTTTGGTCTACTCTGTTGATTTAGATTGTCCTTCTAATTGCATGGGAGTAAGGCCCACTGAACATAATTTTTGATTTCCTTCTAAGCCAACATATGAACGATTGCACCACATAATCACTCTTAGTTACTCACTCTGAACATGCAACAGTCTTCCTAAATGAGTAGTTTTATTACTTGCCAACTCCCATGGCACATCAGATTCCCCCCCTTGTGTTATAAAGGTAGGGTTTCCAGATCTTGGCACAACACAAAGAGGATAATCATTGCCATCATCTTAGAACTGCAGAGTTGGAAGGGACCCTATAGATCATTGAGTTCAGTCTCTGTCAGGGAGGCACTGTGGGGAATCGAACTTCCAACCTTTGGATCTGCAGCCACAGTCCTAAACCACTGGGCAATGTAACCACATATTTCACTTTTGGTCTAACAGAATGTTCACCAGTCTTTTTCTCCTGTCTTCTGACACAAGTAGTGATTTAGTTGCCTGTCACAGCAGACCAGAAAGAAAAGAGTAGGAAGGAATATTATCAGAAAAAAAGCAGAACAGGAAAATCCTCTGCATGTAGCATCATTTCTTATGGCCTTTGAGCCCTTTAAGGGGCAAGCAGTGTTCTTTGTTCTGAACTGAGAGCCACAATTGCACGGCTATCGTGTTTCATGGGGTCATTAAAATTGGTATGTCGTGGGCAGTTTAGTGAAGGAGCAGAATCTAGGACTGTGGTTCCTAACATTTGGTAACCCAGGTATTCGTGCACTGCAGTTCCCAGAAACCCTGGCCAGCACGTGCACTGCAGTTCCCAGAAACTCTGCCAGCACAGTTACTGGCAAAGGCTTCTGGGAATTGCAGTCCAAGAACATCTGGGTTACCCAAGGTTGGGAACCCCTGATCTAAGAGATTCAACATCAAGTTCCCACTCAGCCATGAAATTCAGTGGTGATCTTGAGCCTGTTAGTCTCTCCCAGCTTGCACTACCTTGCAGGGGTGTTGCTGTGACAGTGCTGTGGGAGGGGGGAATGAAAGCTGGGTACGCCTTCCTTGAACACATGGGAGAGAAGGCAGGATATAAACAAAATTAGAAAATAAACAACCCAAAATTTGAAAATTTGAAAATATGAGATTCATTAGAATATGATGGAGCTGGAGGTTTGTGTGGGGGGTGTTGGTGGAGGGTTTTAAGTCTTGTAAACTTCCCAGGGTAGTGCTTGCACTAATGGGGTGGTATATATGGAGTGGTGGTGGAGGGTTTTAAGTCTCATAAACCTCCCAGGGTAGTGCTTGCACTAATTGGGGTGGTATATAGATTGAATAAACAAATAAATGAAGTTACAGTAATTTGTCTGGGTTCCAAACAGTTCTTATGAGCATGTCCAGGGGACTTTTTGATCTTTTCCTTGGAGCAGCAAACCCCTCCCCTGTGCCACATCACAAAGTATGTGTGTGCATGCGCATGTTGCTGTTCCAGAAGCACAATTTTAACTCTCCTTGAGTGTACAAGATTAGCAGTCCGGGTTTCTGGATCTTGACTTATGCATTGTAGCTGTGTGCACAATTCAATGCACAACAGTTTCCCAATTTAAAGTTTAGCAAAAACGTCCAAGAAGAAAGAGCGATTCCTTTGTTAATGAAGCTTCTAAATGCCCCATACTGGTTACAGTCTCTCAGTAAACATGTTCACTGAAAGACCAGCCTGCCCAGAAGGCATTTTTTCTCCTCACAACAAAATTAGTTTTGTGTTATTTCTGAGGGTTTTTCTGAGGGAAATGGCTTCAGCTTGACTTTGCTGAGGTTTGAACACTGTATTTGCTTTCAGCCATGATGAGGTGATTACAACGTTTTCTTGGAGAAATATTTTTATGGCCACCTTTACTGGTCTTCGTGAAGTTCCTTGTATGAGCTGGAAGTGCATACACGCATGCTTGGGGGTGGTGTTGGCCTGTTTTTCTTTTGGGGGTGCCTACATTCTCACAGACTCTGTCAGTTCCTACTCTGGAGGGGTCCCTTGCCTTATGAATGGTTTTGGGGTGCTGAATGTTTTTTGGGGGGAAAGGAGGATAAGACAGGGCATGTTTGGCACACCACTCATGGCCTGAGCTAGAACATTAAAAAATATATATTTTAGTTAGTATGGACTGTAGATCCCAGAGTTCTCCATGCTGGCAGGAGAACGATGGCCATTATAGTTCAAAAAAAGGTAAATTTTCCTAGCTTTAGCCATTCACCACTGATATGCCACACTTTAGCACTTTAAATATGTCAGGCCATGAATGCAACATTTTAATAGTGATAAATGAAGGACTTCAAATGAAAATGCTTTGTAACTTAGAATTAACCATCTTTTTATATTTTTCTCCTTATTTTTTCCAGATGTAAATGAGGTCAGTATAATTATTTTTAAAATACCATATACAGTTGAATGGTCAGAATAGATGTTTTGTAATTACAATTTCAGGGTGGTCATTTACTAGTTCCATTTCCCCAGGAGTGCATGGGCAAGCTCCTGTTTATTAGACATTATGGTACTGCCCTGAAATGTGCCCACCCCTAGTTTCCTAATGGGCTGTCCCTCTTATTAAAAAGCCTCCTACCTTCATAGGTGAAAGTAAGATTAGGAGGCTATGGCACAGCAGCAACAGCAAGAGTCACACTGCATGCGCAACAATTTTGGATATTCCTAATACAATTTTTAAACCAAAGTTCCTTTAAAAAGATCACTGCATTTGAAAAGCATGAATGAATTCAGGTATGACTTTGTGTTTGCCATTTACAACAGTTAGCAAATATTACTAATGTAGTTTTCCCATGGCTGCTAATATAGTCAAAGTTAGTGTGCATGTTCATATTTCAAATAAATATTGCTAATTTTAGGTTTTTCTCTAACTTCATATTCATTCCTTTCTAGGCAACGGCAGGACGGAGGGTAAGCTATTTCAAGAATATTATTCTAGTATAATAATTACAATAATACAACCTTTGAGGCTTCTGTTGTGGTGGTAGATAAGAAAATGTCAAAGAGGAAACCAGGGAGAAATAGGTCTCAATGTACAAAATCATATTGTATTTGTGTTAATATAAGTCTAGACCAAGAACATGAACTTGAAAATAAAGGCCATTAATTTCAGGTGACTGTGCTTAAGAACACATCTAAGCATACCAGCAGCCTACATAGCTATTGAGAAGCATGGTGCACTGTGTTCAGTGGTCTAAAATCCAATTACAAATCCAAACCAGAGTAGACTGGCTGAAGCACAGGGACTTACACAAGTCCAGAATTCCCATTTAGCAATTGATTTCCTCTGTCTACTGCAGCTAAGACTAGCAATTGGATTTAGGGAAGTGTGCTGTATTTTCAAGTAACAGAATGGAAGCCTTCGTTGGAAACTAGTTCACCAAAGTCAATGAGATTTCTGATGTGTTTAAGATTCAGGTATTTGGGGAATGAAGGCAGATTGTTATAGACATGCAGTTTTAATATGTATCCATAGAAAAGGAATAGCTGAAAGTGTTTTTGAAGTTTTATCAAAATTTAGTAGCAACAAAGGGCAGGGTAAATTACCCACTTACAAAATATCTCCAAGAAATGTGCGTGATTGGTTTAGGGATTAATGTGTAATAAATGAAAACTGCTCAATGCAGAGCTGATCAACAATAGATTTCTATGTGTTTTATGAAAGGAAATGAATATTTATGTTAACAGTATGTATTCAGACAGTTCTGGAACTGTGTACAACTGACTAATTTTGCAAAAGCCATTTTCCTGGCAGTTTTAGTCACATTTCAATCAACAGATGGTTCTTAATACTGTAGATTTCTATGCCTAAAGTAGAATAATTTCAAAGACTCGTTTACAGTTCATATTGTTTTGTGTTTTTTTTTTCAGGGCCCAAGAGGAGACAAAGGGCCACAAGGAGAAAGGGTAAAGAGCTGTGACTTACATTCATTTTGCTTGTGGTGTTTGAATTACTGCTAGGCAAATAGGAAAGAGCATGGTCATAGGCTAACAAAACGCTAAATTTTTGTTAACTGTATAATCCTTCACATGTCTACAGAGACCTAAGAGCCACTAAGAAAAAGACTTACATCTCGGATTTGTGGCTTCAGTCTCCAGACTAAGTTAATTGGATCCAGACGAATAATAATTCCATCCCCGTGAAATCACTGAGACAGTTTAATGATGATCAGTTAATATTCCTATGTATTTTAATGAGTCCCCAAAGTTATCTTTTTAAAAAAGTTCTATTCTATTATGTCCTTTACCCCCTTTCCTCCCGCTGAACCATTTGAGAGGGCACTCAGTTTGTAAAGAATCATAGTTAGCTAAACTTCGGCTTGCTAGCTCTTTTTCAGCGTCCATTTCCTCAGACAAAAGATGCGTACAAGCGAGAAAGTAGTCTGCATGATGGAAAAAACTTACTTGTGGAAATGTGGTGCATTTGACAAAGTCCAGTAGGGTCAAGAGCATCTGACCTCACTTGAAAATTAATTGAGGAGAAATGATTCTCAGCTCCCATCAAATACAAAATGCATTAGCTGATAAAATAATTTTCATTTGGCGGGGCTGAGGGGTGGGCAGCTATTTGTTTATGAAGACATATGATAGCTTGATACTGGAAGAGAGAAGAATAAATTTATTTATTTATTTATTTATTTATTTATTTATTTATTTATTTATTTATTGCCTCTCTCCTTAAAAAGAACCCCAAAATGGCTTATATCATTAAAATACATTATTTAAAAGTATACAGTGTTTTTAAAGATTCAAACAAATACCACACTAAAATGCTGTAAATAAATATAACACAAAAACACATTCAAAGCAGTAAGGCACAACAACCCATTTAAAAAAATCTACTCAGACGGCCAGTCACTAAGGGAAGGCCTGCCAGAAAAGAAAGGTCTTTGTCTGCTTGGAGAAAAATAGCAAAGATGGGGCTGGGTTGACCTCCAGTGGGAGGGAGTTCCAGAGTCTGGAAGCAGCAACAAAGAAGGCCTTCTCCCGTGTTCCCAGTAAACACACCTGTGAAGGTGGTGGGACCAAGAGAAAGGCCTCTGCTGATTCAGTACATATCAAAATCCACCCACATAATGGGCCTCAAATGTCGATTATGCCTGCCAGACAAGAAGCCTTGCCTCTTTGTTGATCACTACTGATTGTGTGATTATAAGCCAGCCATAGTTACAATTAGCATTGGTGGTTTTCCACAACAATTTCATTGGGCCAATCGAGTGTTACCTTACTGAGACTTAGTTGATGCAGCTATCTTGCTAATCGTTAACGCAAGACTTATTTTATAGCCTCTTTGGCACACCTGTCTATGAAAGCTGTTTTTAACTAACACAAAAGCGTCAGAGACTTGCCAGCTCAGGAAGGAAGGCTGCAATTAGACACTGTCAAAAAGCCTGAGAGGTTTCCTCCTATAGTGCCCTTTCCTGTGGCCTGCCCCTTCACACAAACACACAGCCGTAATCATTTCTCCTTCCCACAAATCTCTCTCACAAATCTCACCCACAAGGAACCTCAGAAAATCCAGAATGGACAAACGGAGAATATGCATTGTTATTTTCACTCATTGACATGTCCAGGTATTGGGATGTCATTATCCCTTCCTGTGGTGCTCTTATATCATGACTGTTAAATGGGGGAGGGATTGACTATGCTCACACATTGATTTCAAAGGTCAGAATTCTCTGTAGTGTGTCTGTCATAGAGTTAAAGAAACGAGTAGCTAGGACTTAAGAGTAGAGTTGTTAAATGACTGCAATCTACATTAGGGGAAAAAAAAATCAGGAAAAAGCCACATGGGCCTTCAAAACAATACAAATGCAAGAACCATCTACACATTCCATTTTTAACATGTATATAGAGATGGGCTGATTGTGCCTGGCAAATTCATGTTTCCTACTGTCTATATGAAAATGTTTCATGTCATGATACATTTGTGTTAGGATTGGAAGCCACAAGTGGTTGCTTCTCCCCGCCATGGTGTGCGTATCAGCAGTGGTAAACATGAATTTGGGTTTTGCTATTATGTAAATGATGATGGTCATACAACTGGGCCTTCAGGACCTGCTTAAGTTTCATTCTTCTCTCAGTAATCGCTTAAACTGAAGCATTGAGTGTCATTCTCCATTCTGCGTAAAACAACACCCACTGAGCCTAATGCATCCTGTCAGCTCTGTATTATGGGATATTGGAAGCTGGAAAACTCTGCTCTCCTCCTCATATTTATGGCCTAGCTTGGCCACAGCCTCTAGGAGAGTGTGATAGGCAGCTGGTTTGCTTTGATGAATCAGTATGTGCAGGCATGACAGCGTTCTACGCGTGTGCCATGGAAGTAAGATTTTAAGTAAATGTTAACCCCATTTAGTTGTTACCATTATTATTGTCAACACAGAGAGGAAAATTGAGGTCCACCCTGCCTCCCTTGTTGCTTTTTCTGGGTGAGCAGTGATACGTTCCAAACAGACAAGAGTTCCTGCTCTTGTATACATTCTACCTATGAGTTTGGGCCTAGATTTTTCATTATGATTTGTGTAGCAGAGGTAATAAGACATTGCAAATTATTTATTAAGGTTGTGAACGCATCTCTGAGAGAAATTTGCCTTTAGTTTGCCAGACTGCCACATGGCATTTCATATGGTCTGTAGAGTTGTCTGGATACTCAGTAAGATGAAGCACCTCGTAGAGTAAGGGGTCTGCCTTATTAGGCAAACTACACAGTCCCAGAGCATCCCCAGAAAAAGTGAATAGTAGCCCACATCTGAATACTATGTCCCTAGAAAATCTTGGAAAGGATCCCCATAAGCAAGTATTGATCTGACACAGCACATGTGTTAATTTAAAAATCTCCCATAATCATGAAAATCAAATTATGCAATCATAGTTTAGAAATGATTCTAAGTTTGATTCTGCCCCAATTCTCCTTCTTCATAGGAACAGGTATTGGGTCTGATTGCTAGATCTAGCTTGATATTAAATATGAATCAGGAATGCTGATATAAATTCTGTTTACTTAATTGGTATGGTTGTTAACCTATAAAATATGTTCAGTAAAGTCTGCCTTTGATTTCACCTGTAGATTAATACAGAATTTAAAAGGTAGCTTGACAGTAATAGCAAAATTGCATTGTTTTCACAGATGAGATCTGTAGTCTTTGCAATGAAAAACAACTGAAAATCATGAATCAGAGAACACACCTGGAATTTATTTTGTGATATTCAAGTAATTAGTATGGAACTGTACCAATAACTGATAGGAATTTTCTTGACTTTGTTCACCTGAGATTAATACTGCTTTAAAATACTGTACATATTTTACAGTGAAATAATATCCAGGTTGTTTCACCTCACTCCACTGTTATTTACAGAAATCCTTGATTTATTTTTCAAATAACCCCAAGAAACAAATTGTAATTGACCCTATTTTGCCATCCCTCAATAACATCAAACAATGCATACATACACAGTACATTGGCCTGCCTGGAGACATACAGGATCAAGAACAAATATCGGCACCAAGGCATTTAAAATGGCTATTAGGACACTTAGAGTGCTCTCAGCTGGCACCTTCATAAACATCCTAGTACAGAGCTGGGGAACATATGCCTACCAGATATTTTTGACCCCCTCTTGTGCTAGTTCTGCCTTTTGGGAGGTGCAGTCCAACAATTTCTAGTGAGCCATGGCTTCTCCAGTTTGTCCTAGTATGACACTGCCTACATGTGGCAATGGGGGATCTTTCCAGCTACAGTAATGTATGAAGAACAAGCATTTCTACTTGCTTATTGAATTTTTTTAAATTGTATTTATTTTTCAGTTTTACTCACTTGCAAAGGGCAATGCTCTGTCAAAGTTTCTAAGAACAATATGGATAAAACTTAGTGTAGCATTGGGCACAATTTCCAAACAGCTAATGGGATAATCCTTCTCCATGCATTAAGGCCTCAAACGTTATAATCCCATGCATTATTGACTAGCCCAGTATGCTTATATATGTTAGAGGAGCATATATAGGATTACAGTCCAAATTTTCAGTCCTACCCTGTTTACCTGCAAGTAAGCTCAACTGAATTCATGGGGAGATATTTCTGAGTAGACATGTCTAAGATTGTACTGTTAATCTTTTATGAACAAATTAAATTGGGTAAGTGAGATGGTTCTAACTTGCAGATGATGTAAGATATGGATGTATATATCTGGGGTTGTCCAAGATTCTGTCTTTGCATTCAAATGCCTTTTTTTCTTAAAAATCTCCTCTAGCCATTTCTATTTTGCTATTGTAGTTATTTATTTAAGGTGGTATATATTTTTTCCAACAGGGTCCACCAGGTTCTCCAGGCAGAGATGGTGAAGATGGTCCACCAGGCCCTCCAGGCCCCCCTGGTCCTCCCGGTCTTGGCGGAGTAAGTCACCCAAAGTTTTATTTTATTGGCGATGTGCTTAGATTGCTGAATGATGCTTAGAATATGAAGCAGGTCGTAATAAGTCTATCAACTTCAAAAAGCAGAAGCTGTCTCTTTGATCACCTCTTCTCAGGTGTGTCTCTAATTACTCTTGTGATCCATAGATAAGACAGTCCTTTGAAAGAATGCATTTCTAATATACTGCTTTATTTGGTTCCTTCTATGTCCCTTCCCTCTGCGTACTCAAGAGCCATTGTCCTAAGCAAGGTTTAATTTAAGCATCTCCTGATGAGACAGACTGCTGCTCACACACTGTGTGACCAATTCTGAAGATGAATGATGATCTTAATGCAACTGTAGATAACACTGTCCGCTACCTTTCACTCCCTGTTCTTCCAATATTTTTGTTTGTCATTGCAACAATGGGAGACTTAAGATACAATAATGTAAATCTACTGCCCGGCATTAGTTTTTTTGTCATGTGTGCATGACTGTAATGTGCCATTAAGTCGATTCTGATATATGGAAATCCTAAATAGGTTTCCAAAGTATGTGATATTCTTAAGTGGTGGTTTTACCAGTACCACCCCTGAGTACATTCTGGCTGAGTGGGGACTTGAACCCAGGGTTTCTGGATCCTAATCTACACTGTGTTGTATAAAGGGTATCTTATTTTTTATAGAGTATATTCTTTAAATTCTGAAGAGGTTTCTCCCAACGATATTAATTTCTCCTTTTCTCCCTCTCCCATAGAACTTTGCTGCTCAATACGACATATCCAAATCTGCTGATTATGGCCCCGGACCTATGGTAAGCAAATGTTTCATTTCTCACACACATGTACGTGGAAGCCCAATTTGCACTCATAGGTGCAGCCTCTGCTGGAGGAGCCCATGTATGAAGACCTCCTAACATTATGAGTCAGATTTTTTTATGTATGTCTAGCTGCCATTTTTTGGAAGACAACAATGTAATGGCTGCTGTCCTTTCCAGGTGTATAGTTTGGTCATTTCAGACTCAGCACCTGATGGATTCATGAAAGAGCCTCTCTTGGATGGTGAATGTATATTATTTTGACACATGCTCAGGCTGTCCTGCTGCACGTGGAGGCCTTCCAACCCATTTTCCTGAGTGAGATCCCAGACATCTGCCCTATAGTCCTGCTTTAACAGTATCACCTTAGTTAGGCATCCCACAGCTCAGGCAACCCTCTTGTGAACTATACATGTCTTAGGTGAGGAAAGCTTATGGTGAGAAAAGCTTCGCTTCACTTACTTGCCCTCAGGCTGTATTTCAAAAGCTGAGAGAATTGTAGAGAGGTCCAACAGCATCATCCTGCCACACTCATGAAAACTGAAAGTGGGGGGACCTCTGTTTTGCAACCCAGCTCACCACGGGCTACCTGATACTAGAGGCTACAATAAGTGCTTGGCCTGATGGACTAGCTTTGCATCTAAATTTCTTACCCATCATGCAGCTACTCTAGATCCATGCCTACTGCTTGCAACCCCAAGCACAATTGTTTGGAAGTAAATCCAAGTAAAGATGGTTAATAATAACTATACCGTGACATGAGTCATACTGGATAACTCTTACTGCCTAGGGTATAAAAATTAGATAATGCAGAGGCAATTTTTCATTATTCGTCCATCCATTCATCTTTCTTTCTTTCGCATCTGTTTCACAGACATGTTAAACCACAACTGTTGATCACTGATTTCATAGCAGTGTACTGTATTTGCTTAAACTGTCTATTTAGTTAGTCACTATCACTTGGCCAATGTAAGTTGGCCAAGGTTTTCAAAGAAGCTACATTTATGATCATTCCAGTTCATTAGCTCAGTGGTGTAGCTATCTGGCTGTGGAGGCTGGGAGTTCAGTTCCCTTCTGTGCCTCCCCGACAAGGGCTAGACTCAATGATCCACAGGGTCCCTTCCAGTTCTGCAGTTTGAAGAGGAGGAGGATGCTTAATTGGCATTATATATCTTATTGGAAGCAAGACTTGCCCATTTCAAAGGAATATATTTTAAAACAAGCTTATGCTCAGGGCTGCCACAAGACAGCAGTCCTTGAATTCATACAAATTATTTTTATATAAATGATATTTGAATGGTGATGTTTATCTAGGAATTCAATAGTACCAGACTGAATGATGAAACTGACTTCAAAATGATTTGGATTAGGGTAGTTTTTTTTAAAAAAATTACATCCCATCTTTTTACACACCTCTACCAGTCTTATGTAAAGGTAAAGGTTAAGGTTCCCCTTGACAATTTTTGTCCAGTCGTGTTGGACTCTAGGGGGCAGTGCTCATCCCTGTTTCCAAGCTGTGGAGCCAGCATTTTGTCCGAAGACAATCTTCCGTGGTCACATGGCCAGTGTGACTTAGACACGGAACGTTGTTAACCTTTCCACTGAGGTGGTCCCTATTAATCTACTCGCATTTGCATGCTTTCGAACCGCTAGGTTGGCGGGAGCTGGGACAAGCGACGGGCGCTCACTCTGTCGCGTGGATTCGATCTTACGACTGCTTGGTCTTCTGACCCTGCAGCACAGGCTTCTGCGGTTTAGCCCACAGTGCCACCACGGCCCATTAAAACAGTTTCAATCAAATCAAAAGTACAGAAATCCTTTGCAACAAATTAGACATCCCAAAGCGTAATGTAAATAGTCATAATAAGATACTTACTAGGAAGCAAGTTAAATTGTACACAGTGGGACTTATTTTACAGGTAACTTACAAAGGCAGGCACCCTTAGGGGTTGTAAATTTATTTCAAAGTAAATGTGTCTGGGATTAGATAAGACTGAGAACAGAAATAAAAGTAAGCCATGAAAGATGTTAAATTCTAGCCATTTATATAATAAAGAGGAATGGAATGAAATATTCTCAGAATGTTGAGCATGTAGTTCTAATAGATACAACAGTTTTATACTATTTTTACATATGTACCTGAATTTAGGGAAACTCAAACCACTTTGGTGGTTCTCTAGAAGCATATGGACACAGCATGAGCATGCTGGTTTTGCTTCCGGTGCTTCCAGGTTCTGCCTAAGAAGGGCTGCCTCCAGTCCCACGTGACATAGATCTCATTCAAAAGTGTTTCATCCTGGTACCTTATGCTACCTGATGCCTCTACCCACCCTTATGTATGACTCTTTTCTTAGTATAGCAGTCCCCTGCTAGAGGTGGTCTGTTCAACACAGAAGCCAGCACCTCAGTGTCAGATATATGCATCATAGCCCTCATCTTTCCACTGTGTGTTGTCATAAAGCCAATGTAGCTGTGGCGTCACAGCCATGCAGATACATCCTGGGAACATTTGACTATGACTCCCAGAAGCCCCATGTACATGGGATTTAACACTCCTCTCCTAGACTTTTTCTTGCAGCATGCAAAAGATCTCCAGGTCTTGTGTGTAGGGTTCTTTAGGCAGGATTTTAGCTTCTGTTTGCTGTAGGATGCAAAAATATTCAAAGAGTTATTTTTACAAAGACGTATTAGGTGATGTGTGTCATGCCCTAAAGAAAATAAAGCACACACAGTTCAAAAGAAATCATAGCAACAGTTTGAAGTAATTGGCTGTTAAGAGGTTAATGGCCATCTGCAATCACTGTTTTAGCATGGACAAAATACTGATAAATCTATTCGATTATGCCAGTAATGCTTCTGATCCAAATCTCCTTATGACTTCCAATGCCTGATCATATTCAAAATATGGAGCTCCCCTGCCCACAGGATTGCTCCTATTCACTTAAATGGAGCAGCTCTACTTGTACAAAGAGGCATCTTCCATTGAAGTTAAGAGATTTCAGTTCGGTCTGGTGGAAAATGCCTGTATGTTTATAATAGGAGTGCATCTTCCATCCCTTACACACTACATTGGGGGCTTCACTATTGAAGTTGTTCCACTGGTGCATGTGGAAACGTTCTGGAGTAAATAGTGGGAGGATAGCAGGGAAAAGCCATTTTGCATTCCTTAAGTAATATCAGGGACAAGAAACAAAACAAAACAGCAGCGAAGAAGTAAAAAAATGTTGTGACACCTTAAATATTAATATTTATAATTTGAAAGTGAGCTTTCATGGACACAGTCCACCTCCTCAGACATAAGAGTGATCTGAATAAGAGTTGTCACTCTTTGTAGAGATCTATGGGAATAGAAATTATGGTTTTTTCAGTGGGACCCTAAGATAAGTTGACATAAGGAAGTTCAAGGAAGGAAAGTTTTCCACGTGCTTCTCCTTCCTGCAGATGAAAAGTCTTAGTAGAAGCTTGGTGTTTCTTCCTGGAAAATGTGAGATGGGATGCTGGGAGAGGAGATAGTCTGCAGAGGCTATAAAAATAACTTCCTTACTTCCTTGAACTTTTGTATGTTAACTTATCTTGGGATCCAAGGTGCAATTTCATCTTCCTCTCAACAACTTCAGGCACCCACTCCCACTTTGTTAAGGAAACTCCTAGGACGTTTCCTGGGGGTCATGAATAACAGTAGAGAGAAGAAAGGACCATGAAACTTTCTTTCTTTGAACTTCCTAATGTTAATTAATTTAGGGTTCAAAGAAATTTATGAAGAATACTGTGAAGAAGGATCAAGGATCGTTATGACACTGAGAGCAAGGTCAGGGACTTGGCTCTCCCCAACCATAGCTCCTTCCCTTCTAAGCATAGAGCCAATATAAGAAGCCTGAAGGTGACATGGTACAGAGCAAGGAGGATGGGGAGCAAGAGTAGATAAAAATGAGCTGACATTATGCTAGATCCTATATCATCTTCTTTTCGCCAAAGAACAGCATGAATGCACAAAGGAGAGAAAGATTTTTTTTATTGGAAAGGTAGCCCTATGGCTTATATTTGTGGAACTTCTCTGTGCTTCTCTTTACGGTTAAAACTACTAAGGAGAGCTGATACATTTCCATGTTTGAGTGTCTCCAGATGCTTTTAAACAGGAAGTCCCAATGCCCCTCGCTAGCATAGGAAATAGTGGAAGATGTGGGAGTTGCAGTCCACATATGGAGAGGTGTTGAATTTTTCACTCCCTTTCTGTACAGTGGTAATATTGGGTGACCCAGTTGTTGCCCACGGCTCAATCAGAAAATATGGAAACTTCAAAATGGATAATAATCAGAGGTTTACTTGAAACTATTGTGGACTATGTTGTCGGACAACTGTAGCCAGTTGGTTCACTCCTTTGTATAGCTTCTCTTCTTCTCACCATAGACCAGAACAGTAAGAATTATGAATTCAATCCACTGTGCCAGTCAGCAAGAGCTCCTGGACTCTGGAATGCACAGGAATACTTTATTGTTCATTTGCACCCACTAATTTATTGTGGCCCTTGGGACGTTGCACTCATAATCTGATTCATAAACTTGTCTCATCTCACTGTGATTGAGTTTCAGGTAAATAACTAAGCCATATTGAAAACTCACTATGAGGTCATCTGCTGATCATTTACAGCATTACATGATCCTGATTCATTTCTGTATTTTCCCCGCAGGGTATAATGGGACCCAGAGGCCCACCTGGACCAAATGGACCTCCTGTAAGTATATTGTGATTTTACAGCCATTGGGAGGAAGATCACTCTGTTAGATCAGTTGTTCTAAAACATGTGTTCCGTTGTGAGAAATTGGAAAATTATTGGAAAATCACTAACAGCGCCACAAACTATAATGGTGATTATCACAACTCACTCCAAAATCTTATTCAGTTATGTTTAAACAGTTGGGTTGGAGTTCTATTGCCATTTGAATTAGAATACTAAAATGCTTACCAGAAAAAATGTCATTCCTTAATTAATGAATGAATTGGCTGCAGAGCCAGAGATTGGGAATACAGTTCCCCACTGTGCGTCCCAGAAGAGCCAACCTGTGGGGGCTTGGGCAAGCTGCACCATCCCTGGACGCCCCCAGAAGAAGGGAGTGGTAAACCACTTCTGGGTATTCTCTACCTGGAAAACCCTGAAAAGGGTCATCATATTATTATTAGATGCTAATCAAATTAGCTCACATGTGAAATGATCCATGCTTACAATTTGAGGGTCAGCACCAATATGACCCCAGTTAATATTGCCATTAATTTATGATCTGGTTTCTCCTTTCCATGATCTTTTCTCAACTTCTAACTAGTTGGAAAATGAATCCTCTTTCCATACATGCATACACATTTTATCCAGATTTGGGGAAATTTACCACACTGGCTGTGAGATCCTGAGAATTATAATCCAGAAGTTAATTTTCCCTGTTTTCATGCTTCCTGTTTTCCCAGAGCCTTAAGATCACTATTAAGAACGGCCAAAGCACACAATGTCTGAAATCAGTATTAAGTTATGGCTAGAGTAGGACTATTGAATTCAATGGAATTTATGGAGGAGTTGACTCTGCCAGCCCCCAGAATGGGCCTGCTCCACTAGTGATTTACTACTGGATTTCACCCAATGTGTATGTGTGTTACCTCTCCAAGTTCCCATTACCCATCTGTTTTGAGCATCCCATGTTAGGGTTCCTGCATTTTTAAAATCCCAGCTGAAGACAAGGAACAATAAGAAGGGAAAACAGGGATAGCAGATCAAGACAGGTGGCAGACAGGTGACATGTTCACAGTATTTTCACGCTAGTGAGAAATATTGTACTTCTGCTTAAATTATAGGAGTTATTTCTACATTTCCATTATACACAAAAGTTAGTATAAGCACATGTTGTCTCCAGAGTGCATTGTTCTACAGTTCTTATCTACCCCAATCGGTATGACTGATGGTGGGTGATGAAAATTCTAGTCCAACAGATCTGAAGAGTCTTAAGTTAAGGAAGGCAACTCTAGGGCTTCCAGATTGACTTTCCCATTTGCCAAACCATCGGTCCTTCACAGAGTTGGGAAACATTGCTTTTTTGGAGTAAATAGATATTCTGAGAATTGTAATCCAATAAAGTAAATTTCTCCATCTGTGGTGTTGCTGGCTGGTCTTCCTCAGAACAGTCTACATTTGTTTCCTAACCTGCAGAGCACTTACCTTCTGGCACAATATTCAACACTAGGTAAAATGTGTTGTTCCCCTTCTAGGGTTCTCCTGGCTACCAAGGACCTCCTGGTGAACCTGGCGAACCTGGCCAAACAGTAAGTAAAACTATTCAAACTATTGGGGTGATTGAAATGCTGAAACACTTGTGTACATAAAAGGTCTGCCCCAAAGTTTATACATCTGGAGAGTTTACTTGGATCAGTTGTTTGGGATTTTTACAAAAGAATAAAAATGGATGTAGTTACTAATGATTTGCTGTTATTCTAGATGCTACATCTGCTGTTTTTTCAAAGCAGAAAAAAGTGAATGGCTTCATCCAACTTTTATAGCCAGTTATAAAAGGATAACCACTGAATCAACTGTAGTGGATTTAGCCAAAGGACTTTGATATCCAACTTTTATAGCCAGTTTATAAAAGGATAACCACTGTAGTGGATTTAGCCAAAGGACTTTGACAAGGAGACAGGATCTTGCTAGATAGGCTGGCCATATTTTAGATTTCTGCAACTTTTACACTTTGTGTGCATAAAACTACTGAGGAATCTGAAATAAGATTGAGTAATGACCATGAAGACATCTAGTTTTATGAAAACCAATAGCCATTATGTCTTGCCATCCTCTTCTTCTTCTTCACCACCCATGTGGGATAAGGGATTTAGAGATAGGATCTTGTTTCAACCAAATAACTAATTCATATGTAACATAGAAGAAGCTACTGTCTCATTAGAACTCATAATTTACTTTCAAATTAACATCTTACTTTTATAATTAGGGTCCTCAGGGTGCTCGTGGTCCAATGGGTCCTCCTGGAAAGGCTGGTGAAGATGTAAGTATTTTTTACATTGGGATTCCTGGAATAACTCACTAGGAGCCATTTCCTTACCCTGAAATATTGACCCACACGTCACTATCACACTCATAGAGGACTTGAGGATATCATGCATCTCCACATTTCCAAGCTTCTGATAGTCCAAATGGACTGGATGTTCCCTTAAGGGCTTTGAATAACAGGCATTTTAAGAAAAAAAAATTATGGCTGCACTCCAGTGATGCTGTAGTAGATGCCGAAATTCCCACCAATCTTATTCTGAAGATTAAAGGAGAAGTTTTACTGCATTTGTGAAATGGAGAAAAAGGCATTTTAATCCTATTGCACAAATAAAGTCCTGTAGAGTAAAATAGGTCCTATCTTTGGTTTAGAATGATCAGTAGTCTTACCCTCTGATTGGGATTATAGCCATAAAAACATGAGATTTATGTGTCTTGAGTTGCATGGTGAAATACCCCATCTACACACTTTTTAAATAAGTTCAATTTGCTTGTTGTTGTACACAAACCATTAAATGGTTATCTCCTTTAATTAGGGTCATCCTGGGAAACCTGGAAGACCTGGGGAGAGGGGCCCTTCTGGACCTCAGGTGAGTGTTATCTCTTCTGTTGTCTTTATAATCTGTTATTTGAATGTAGAAATATTGTTCTTTTTGGTTGTTGTGGGTTTTTTGGGCTCTTTGGCCGTGTTCTGGAGGCCGTGTTCTTCCTAACGTTTCGCCATTCTCTGTGGCCGACATCTTCAGAGGACAGAGGATAACAATTGGTCCTTTTTATCATGGTAATAATTAAAATGCACAAATATCTGCAGTCGGCATGCTACTATATTATTTCAATAAATGTACCTTAATTCTGATAGGAAACTTGCAGGGATATATTTCTGTGATTTGGTTCTTTATCATAGTAGTAGCTTTAGAATAAATACCATATTGCCTATTTTATCTGAGACTTTTGACATTCCATATGTTTACATTATTGACAGATATGTCAAAATGGCTTCTTTTGGACTGATTCTCGCAGAATATCTTAGCCAAGTACCATGCTGGGGTTACTCTGGAAGTTGTAATCCACATCAACCCTAAAAATGTTCTGGGTACTTTCCCCATCTCTGTATATGAACCAGCAAGTAGAAGCCCTCTGAAGAAGACAGGGGAAGGGACAATAAATCAAAGCCAGAACATATATATAGTCCTCAGTATTTCCAGCATTGGACTAATTATGAGTCAATGGGTGATAGGGAAAGCACCTTTGACTAGAGGTGAAGAATATGCAGTACTCATGTTGTCAAACCACAACTTTTGCTCATCATTATGTTGGTTTCAGTACAATCAAATATAGAAGACTTTAGACTCTCTAGCTCTGGATTAGACAATGCTAGAAAGTATCTGTATAATTCAAGAGAGCATTGAATATGTTATAGTTATATGCACATTAAATTAGATCTCATGGAGCACATTTTAAGGCACTAATCTCTGAGTTGTATGTTCTGGATACTGGAGAAGTTACTTTCTGGGACTCCAGCTTCCAGAATCTTGACTGTCCATTCTGTCTAGAGATTCTGGAAGATGTAGTCCAGAAAGGAAACTTTTCCACGTTTCGGACAGTTTTCCAAATGTGTGTGGTGTGGAGACCATCTGCTTTGTCCATGATATATGGAATCAGTTATTTTGTTTAGAAAATAAAGACTTTTCTCTTGATGTTTTCTTCCCAAGGGTGCTCGTGGCTTTCCTGGAACACCTGGTCTGCCTGGCTTCAAAGGAATAAGGGTAAACATTTAACTGTGATAGAAACACCATTAAAAATAACATGCATGGTACTCACCCACTGATTAATTTGCAGAACAGTTTCTGTCAGAATCAGGGACTGTTTCTGTTCAGGGACAAAAGTTTAAATGAACAGCTTGCATGATGAAGTGATCTTCTAAATGTAGAGCCAATTTATATCACTCCATGCACCAATAGGAAATAGGGATATTCACTGAGTCAGATCTGTCCATTCACCTGTTTTCAGCTGTCCCAGCATACCCAATAGCTTCTTGTGCTTGAACTCCAAAGATATATAAAGGTAAATGGCTTGGAAGACTGGAGGTTTACTTTTGACCATTTAAGGACAACATCAAGCCCTCCGGTAGTCAGACAAGAACTCACACTATTCTTGACAATTGGCCATATTGACTGGAGCTAGTGAAGCTAACAACATTGGAAGGTCATGGATCTCCCTAGACAACACCATGTTGATGTCCTTGTTTCATCTTGGTCCACCAAAAGTGACCAGAGTATCTCTTTTGACAGGAAAAGCTGCTTGATAGTTGTTGTAATTTGTAAAGTCACAGCAGGGCATGTCACAAGTATATGAGTACACCTCCTGTTTGGGGGGGAAATGCCCCAAATATTGCCTTCTTCGAATGTATATGTATATATTGGAGGTGTATACATTTTGCATGATGTTGCATGTTCTAATTCATTCATCTACAGCAAAATGCCCCCCTCCATCCCCATCCCGTTCTTCTGGATGTATGAGTGCATGAAACATACTGTTTCCTTAGGTGGGGAAAAGCTTCAGAGAAAAGCTTAAGAGTAACTATATGTATATATATATATTTCATTTATCCTAGGGCCACAATGGTTTGGATGGTCGGAAGGGAGAACCTGGTACTGCCGGTAACAAGGTAAAAAAGGATTTCTCTTACTTTAATGTGCATGGCTGGATTCTCCAAGGAGACAGCACACACCAATTAGTAGCAATGTTATTTCTCTATTTATATGCATATGGTTTTTAAAATGTATCAGTTCATACAGACAGCAGGGTTTTTTTAAAGGCAAATCACTCTATGCCATGAAAGAAGCATAAAAAGGTTTTATCCTGAACATCTGAGACAAAAGGATAAAGTTGCAGAACAAAACACTATAATGAGAATTGTAGTAAATAAAAAAAAAACTGTCAAAATGTACAGTGGTTCTAATTCTGATTCCTATACTGAGAACCATAAATCATGAGAAGCCACACATAGGAAATGTCAAACCTAACCCTGAAAATTCCTTCAGGTCTGTCTTGTTTATTCACAAATAGTGATAATGGAGAGCAAATGTCTATCTGACTTGCTTTATTCTCCTTTAGATAGGCTGGTTTTCATCTACTCCTTTGTGTTGAGTTGTCATTACATTGCTTCCAACTTACAATGATCCTAATAGGTTTTTTTAGATATGTGAAAGAGTCAGGGTGCACTGTTGCCCTCCCCAATGAATTTCCATGGCCAAGTGGAGATTTGAACCGACATCTCCTAGTCAGACTCTTTCCTCATCATATTACACTGGCTCTTACTGGATGCAGTAGAAATGGAGCAGAGGATTTCTGCTGGAATCTGTGAGAAGAGAATGACCCATAGGCCAAAATCCTGTTGCTAGGTGATGCAATAAAAGCATGCACAGCCCAATATCAAAGGAGTGACTCCTTAAATTAATGGCAGTCTGCTGCTACTGGTGACATTCCTGATGCGCTGGCACAGCTGCGCAAGAGGATACTGGCCATAGCATCAAAGCAGTTATCAGACAGAAGGTTCCTATGGAAACAGAAAAACTTGTAAGCAAAACCCCAGCTTATTCCAATGGGAGGAATGGGCTTCCGGTTCACCTGTATTGCTGAAATGACAAGGAGATGAATTGGCCTCCTGGCCAAAACATGACAGAGACCAGAGAAGGCTGAGGAAGAAGGTTTTATCTTTCCAGAACACTTCGCCCATTTTCCATGAATGAGATGCCCCCCCTGATATATACATGGAGAATCATAATTTCAACTACAGCAGTTCATACAAAACAGTAAGACTGTTTTGAGTGCTTTAACTGTACTTCTTTGTGGATCAACCTGTCCAAATATGGCTAGTCACAACTATGGTGGTTGCTTTCAGATATCAAGCATATGGAATCCAGTCTAAAAAGTGTTGTGTTTAAGTGCCACAGAAATCAATGGGACGTAAGCTATTCACAAAGAGCATGTTTCGTTGTTTTCAGTGAGACTTTTTCTGAACTGCACCCAGCACTGATATGACCATTCCTGTGGTTAGCAAAAAGAGCTAATCTTGTAAGAGGTTTGTTAGATATAAAACTTTGGTGTTCACATTCTGTATTAGCTGAATTATTCCACCAGCTAGATAATACTAAGCCTTGCACTGAAAGGACAATCTGAAGTGTTTACTGAATAGATGATATTTGATATTTACAGGGTGAACCTGGTGCTGCTGGTGAAAATGGTACCCCAGGACAGCCTGTGAGTATTTTCTGGTTGTAACCTACATGGTACTAAATGAAAGGAACACTGTTCCACTGTCATTTTTTTAATAGTCCACTAGTCAGATAAAGTAAAATAACTTGTTTTCATCTCTCTCGTAGTATTTTATACAATTTGATCGGACTACATATCTTATTCTTTTGTAGATGACAGTTAATTCTGCATTTATTTATATACATATACATCCTAGTAAATTCAGTCTAAGGTGTTCATGGTTAACTTTGCTCAGAGGTGTATCTGGATGTAGAGAAAAGATAGGAATGATGAGTGTGGTGCAGGTATTTGATGTTGTTGATGATGATGATGATGACATGAGCATTTGCATGTACTTTGTGTTTAGGGTGCTCGTGGTGCCCCTGGTGAAAGAGGAAGAGTTGGTGCTAATGGCCCTGTTGTAAGTGACTACCAATTTGGACAACCTTTCATTTAAAAAAAAATATTAGTTTTTCAATTGTATATGAAAAAAGTGAAATTTGCATTTGTTTCCTTTAGGGTGCTCGTGGTGCTGATGGAAGCAATGGTCCTACTGGTCCTGCTGTAAGTCCAAACTTTAATATTCTATCTGTCATAGTCCTGCCATGAATGACATAAGGTGTTCTGTCCATCACCTGAGGTTTTGAAAATCCCCCCATGTAGATCGTCAAGCGATATCTCTTGGTCTTTTTTTTGCTTACTAAATGTCAGAGAATTTCCAGAAGTAAAATTCTGCCATTTCCAGATAAAAAGCAATCAGCTGCTAAAACATAGCAGGAAGTATTCTAGCAATCATCCACAGACTATCTGACTCAAGGGCAAGAGGGCATGAGCTAGAATCTAGTACTGAATATCAATGTATTTAGCACAGATGGCTGGCATAAGTGCAGTCAAACTGCATAGAAACCCCAGAGGTCTCCTCCAGAATAATGCTGGAATTGCCTGTTCTGAGAAGTCACTCACTCACACACATGCATGCATGTGCACATGTATATGCAGAGAGTTTAGAAATCTGGAAGGCCCTTCTCCCCATCAGTTTTTTAAAATGATGGGTGCACACCTTTTGAGATAGGACAGCTTTGCTGACTGCAGATAAACTACCAGCTGCTGGGTTAGGGGACAAACCAGTTGGTTTAAAAGCAGTGTCTGAAATCTCTCTGAGCTGACTTCAGATATCTCTCCTATGAGGACATGGGCGATATGCAAAGGGAAAGATGGTAACAGGGGCTATGGACCAACAGTGCACTATTTCTGTTTTATATGCTGGCTTATTCAGTGTGCACCAGTTGACCCTGTCTCTTCCACTGCTGTGTAGCATCTTGTTCCACAGCAGACATGGGAGTGCACAGCTCCTCAGGCCAGAATTTTCCTTTCCTTTCCTTTCCTGGTAGGTGCTGGAAGAGTTACTTGAACTTGTAATGTGGCATTTAATGCCAATTTTTAAGAAACTGAAACTCACTAATCTAGGAGGAGGGGGAATCATCACAGTAACGTTCCTTTAAAGGCATGCCGTGTAACAGCCATGTCATGTACTATAATTTTATGTAGATACCTACAAGAAACAGGTGCAAATAAGGCCGTAGAGGTGTGCTCTGATAGAAGCAGGATTAACTACACCTCTCTTGTCAAAGATACCTGTGGTTGCCATGCAATATCTAGACCCTCAAAATAGGATATATCCTATATATATAGGATATAGCAATAGCTGCAAGTGATTAATTTCTAAAACAGAGATGCAGAAACTCCTGAACATTATGCCTCATGACAGCCTTCTTGCACTTCTCTGAAAATTCTTTTTTTCTACACCATCTCATTTCCATTCTGCCTTTGTGGCTCAGTTCCCATGGGGAATTAATTATGCATGGTTGCTTGCTTATATGGGTAAGCAAAACCAGGAGGTTGCTCCTCATGAAATTGCTTCCCTTGTTCAAGGTTCATTGCCCTCATGTCCTGCAATCACCATTAACTAGTGAAGCTTTGGCCAGATCTACTAAGACACCTCTTATGACCACTAGAAAACACCAACCAGTTCGAACACATTTCTAATCTATTTTTCCTCTGTACTACTCAAAGCAAACAGACTCAGTTTTTGCTGTCTTCATGGACCTGCAAAATAAGGATTCAGTGACTCAACTCCTGTTGTGCTTTTGAAAACAAAGTACTGTAAGTTAAGAAATCTCCATAGACATTATCTGTTCCATACTAAGTTCCATGATTCGGTGTGCAACAGATAAGGTCTGCAGAGATTTCTTAACTTTGGGCAATTCATTTCAGAAAGATATGATATTTGTGCACAACAGGGTTTTAGCCAGCATGTAAGAAAAGTATAATGGGTTATGTTGAGCTTCATTGGTTGAACCTAGTGTGGTTTTGTTTAATGGCCACAGACAGAACTGCCACCATGCAGCAGTATTAACGGAAGACTTTGCAGGGTGGCTGTGTAAATAGGCATTGCTCATTAGCTATTGATACTGTCTTGCCTATCAGCATTAAGAGCTGCAAGCTATTTTTGGCTGGAGTAGATCATAGGGACACATCCATGCATGCAGGTGTGCACACTCTTCATTGTACTGAGATGACATGTTTTATCCAGGACCACCTGTCTGCTGAAATCTAGCAATTCCTAGGTGTACACTTTCACTGAAGTCAAATCTTCTCCCACCTCCCAGTAATCTCCACAAAGATTAGTTTTGCCCCAGCAAGCAGAAGTCTTGGAAGCAAAGGAGAAGCACCTGTTTCATCAGTTCTCCTGAACAATGGGGCTGTGGGGAAACATGGTTGAGGTACCTCCAGCTTTGGGGACTGGCCAAGGGATGGGGGTGGCTCTAGGATCCCAGCTGATGTGCTTTGGCCATAATGCTTCAGTACGCTGCTCTGAATGGGATGTAGAGTATACAGGGGTTTCGTTTCATTTTATTTTGAAAAGCTGATCTAAAGGAAGAACATGAGAAAGTGTCCTATAGATATAGCAATGCATCATGGCAGTAGGTAGAGTATCTTAACTATAATCCAGCCTTTCCATCAGGTGTTTGTCCAAAAAAAGATGGTATGAGAACAAATCCAACCTCTTAGAACTTGCCTCATTCTCCAGTGATTCATTCCCCTTTCCATTGCTTGGAGACAGGAGACTTGTCATTTCAGCATCTACATTAAGAAAGTATGCCATGATCATATCATGGTCATTGATTCATGCGTCCCTAGCTTTCTTTGCTATGTTTATTTGCTTTCTAAGACTTTGTCTCTTTCTTGCAGGGTCCCATTGGTGCTGCTGGACCTCCAGGATTCCCAGGTGGTCCTGGAGCCAAGGTATGTACATGCTGAATAGTGTGGCAGTAACCATAAAGATACCCTCTAGCAGAGATGCTCAGAAAAAATAATAATATTGTGACATTTTAAAGAACGTAATGTCAAAGCCGTATCATTTGAAGACTGTCACCTACCCTCCACAACAGATATGTGCAATGCTGCTTTATTTATTTATTTATTTATTTATTTATTTATTTATTTATTTATTTATTTATTTATTTATTTATTTATTTATTTATTTATTTGTTTGTTTGTTTGTTTGTTTGTTTGTTAGTTAGTTAGTTAGTTAGTTAGTTAGTTATTGGATTTATACCCCGCACCATCTGGCTACCAGGCCACTTGGGGAAGCTAACAACAATACAAACAACACAGTATCAAAACACAATAAAAATAAGATAATACAAACTTTCAACAGATACAATAACTAGTAGTATGTGTATATATGTGTGTGTGTGTGTGTGTGTGTGTGTGTGTGTACAGTATATCTCTACATTGCCAAAGTAAATATATCTCAGATGTGCATTGTTTTGCTGAAGAACCTGCCAAACTCTGGTCATGGTTATGAACACTATTTAGGTTGTCTACCACCTTGTGCTTGACGATTTATGTATACCCACAATGTCTTTCTCAAACAGGGTGAAATTGGTGCTGTTGGTAACCCTGGCCCATCTGGTCCTGCCGGTCCCCGTGGTGAGGCTGGACTCCCTGGTGCAAGTGGCCCTGTTGGTCCTGCAGTAAGTGACATTTTGCTCAATAAAAACTTTTAAACTCAGAAAACATGGTCAAGTGGTCATTTTAAAAAAAATAAAAAATCTCTTTTTTCTTTTCTTTTTAGGGCAACCCTGGCACCAACGGCATTAATGGTGCTAAAGGAGCAGCTGTAAGTATCCACATGTTGTTGACCTGAACATATTTCGTAAGGAATGATGTAGGTGCTGTAGAGAAGATGTTGGGATTATTTATGTCTTCTTTTCTCTTATTTCCTTTCTTTTTTGGACAGGGTCTTCCTGGTGCTGCTGGTCCTCCAGGCTTGCCAGGCCCTCGTGGTATCCTTGGAGCTCCTGGCCCCTCTGGCCCTGCCGGTGCTCGAGGACTTACTGTAAGTGATGTTGCCTCTCCTGCAGTTTCCCTCTCTGGGTAGTTTTCCCTTCCACGATGGCAGGGCACACTTTCAAGGCCGTGTTGTTGTTTCCGTTTGTTTTCGTGCTCAGTCACATGTTCCACCTAAAGAGGTGCTCAAGCTGTGGCCTACAGCTTCCAGATTGGAGCACAGTTTTGCAATGCCCATGCTGAAACATTTGACCTCTTTGCCACATTACATATACATCAGTGACTGGCAGCAGTAAAATAATCACCACCCAGCTTCCCTTGATGCCATGATGATCCATAAGATCCAACTGTCTACAGTCACTATCTTTTTATTCAACACCTGTTTCATGCTTGTCTTCAATATCCAAAGCATTTTCTAAAGCAAGATTGAGGGAAATCATTGGACTCAAGCTGCCATCAGGTTTGGTCAACATAGCCAGTGGACAGAGAGGATGGGAGTTGCAATCTAGCCCATAAGGTTTGGACAGAGAGGATGGGAGTTGCAATCTAGCAGATTCTGAGGGTTATCTCTGCCTTAAAATATATTATTTCAATAATTATTGCAAGAGACTGTTATGGTATTATACTATTGACATTTTGAGTGTGGGAAGATAGTGAAGGCTATGCATTATTTCAATAATTATTGCAAGAGACTTATGAGATGACCACTGTTATGGTATTATACTATCGATATTTTGAGTGTGGGAAGATAGTGAAGGCTAAAGCCACATTAGAGGTCTCATTTCATTTTAGTGTCACAGACTGTATTAACTAGACCAGCCTGTGTCTCTGAAGCCATCTTGATACAGAGATCCCAAGCTACAAGTTCTTACCTAACAATAATTGTGTGCCGTCATGTCAATTCTAACTTATGGCAGGCCCTTTCAGGATTTTCTAGGTAGAAAGTACTCAGAAGTTATTTACCATTCCCTTCTTCTGGGGGCATATTGGTACTATGCAGCTTGCCCAAGGCCACACAAACTGGCTTTTCTCTCTGGAGGCACAATATGGAATTGGACTCCCAACCTCTGTCTCTGCTGTGAGATACCTGATTCACTGTGCTATCCAGCCAACAGGTTCTCACCTAACACCATAAAAATACCTTGAGGGGTAGACAGATCTGCCTGGTCCACCAAAACCAACAATGTGCTCTGTCACTTAAATGAATACATGATGCCACAATCTTTTATGGTGCCCCTCTTATCATATGAAATTGAACTCCCAACCTCTGTCTCTGCTGTGAGATACCTGATTCACTGTGCTATCCAGCCAACAGGTTCTCACCTAACACCATAAAAATACCTTGAGGGGTAGACAGATCTGCCTGGTCCACCAAAACCAACAATGTGCTCTGTCACTTAAATGAATACATGATGCCACAATCTTTTATGGTGCCCCTCTTATCCCCCTACATATCCTCTTCCTTTTGATATATACATAATGTAGGCCAGTGCTCCAATTGGTGGGGGACAGAGTGGGTCTGGTCCTGTTGACATTTGTTGCCAGAACTCACAGATCTGGATTTTAAAAGACTGCAATGGGCCATGAATTGGGAAAGGGAGGGTATGAAGTTTCAATATGGCTCTTCAATCTCACCCACTCCCAATCTGAGTCATAATCCAGATTAGGAGCAGCCCAATTGGACCTTGTGCAAGTCTTTGTAACTGAGCAGTTTGCTGCTGTAATTCTTTGCCGAATGGAGAACATGTAGCTCAAAGGTTCAGATTAAGAACAAAGGATTTTTTTTTCTAGAATGTTCACAGCTGCAATGTTTTGTTTTGTTTGTTTTAGGGTGAGCCTGGCCCTGCTGGATCCAAGGGAGAAACTGGTAGTAAGGGTGAGCCTGTGAGTATTATAATGTATCATCCAGCATAATGGGAGATAATCTCTATTCCACTTTTTTTTATAACCCTAGCATTGTCTTTTACTCAAAATGGCGGCTTTTCTGTTCTCTTTGCAACAAAACAGGGTTCTGCTGGCCCAGCTGGCCCTCAAGGTCCAAGTGGTGAGGAAGGCAAACGGGGTTCCACCGGTGAGCCTGGATCTTCTGGTCTTCCTGGCCCTGCGGGTTTAAGAGTAAGTCAATTGCCCCCTTCAAACAGAACACACTGGAAGTTAGCAGGGAAATCTTTGGGGAAAGCCACATATTTTCAGTGGTAGAGCTACACTTACAGGGAGGTCCCAGATTCATTTCCTTAGTATCTCAGGCCAAAAGGATCTGTGATCAGATTATGGGAAACACCTCTGCCTAAAACCCTAAAAGGCACATTGTATAGTAGATAGGATAGCTCACTGGATTATTTTCTGAACTGAAATAAGGCATTCCCCCTCCCATTTGATTAGACTGTCTGCATTTACCTATGTCTGAATGGACTTTCTAGTGTATAGTGCAGGGGTGGATCGTGGGTTGAGGCAGGGGCCACATGCTTGCGTGGCCTTTGAGCTCCAATTAAAGGATCTCAGATAGCAGAGTTGGTAATGATCTCTGTCCAGAAAGACAATGGTGACTATTAACAGTCATGTTAGCCATTACTAAGCTAAGTAGATCACTAGTCTACAGTTTCTTATGTCTAAAAGAATAGCCCATGTGTAGCATCTTGGCAAAATATTCAGTAGCTTTTGATGTGTTCTAATTAATCATAGTATTCTTCTAATAAGTGATTACCAAAAAGTAATTCTAGGAATAAAAGTGAATACTGAGAAAGGAGGTGAAGTGATATTAATTTGCCTGTTCTTTTAAAAAAATGTCTTTAGAAGTTAGCTCATATATTAGTGAATGAAAAGAGTACAGTACAGCCACTGTATGCAAGATTGTGAGCAATTATCCAGATGTGCTGAATTTGACTCAGTAAGGAATGGGATTTTCCATTGCTGGGTTTGCAATGCCAAGAATCCAATAAAGGTCTGGGGGGGAAATTAATGTGTTCCATTTTAGCCTAGCCTGCATAGCAGGCAGTGATCTAAAATGGAATAAAATAGGAAAAGTAAAGGAAAGTATGCTATAATGCTTAGGTTCAGTTCTGGTAACAGTGAGAATTTATTTGCATATATTTGTAAAAGTCGGATATCTCCTATATATGAACTCTGACCCTACATAGCTGTGGAAATACAGGCCTGGATCCAAATGCTAGTCTCAGTTATAGTAGACATAATGGACAAATAGACTTCACATGTCAAATTTATCATGTAGCAATTGATTCAGGTGGTCTATTCCATTTGCAGTGAGTGGAGCAGGACCTCTTTATCTGCTGGATCAATATCAACAAATTCAAGTTCATCACAACCTTATATACAACATGCAAAGGTGCAGGCCTTGTGGTCATTTTCCTGCCCTCTTGTGGCCTGTGTTCCACCTCCTTGTATGCTGTATATCGGGCTCCCTACTATCCATGGCTTTAGGGATTTGTGGTACATCATGGAATGGATCCCCTTCTATAATTGGATTTAGGCCAGACTGTGTGATATGGAAACGAGCTGCTCTTTCTGAACCCAATTTGTGTTATTAATCTCTGGTTCTGGAAAGAGAAACAAGTCACACACATCATGTGCAGTGTTTTTCAAAACAGTTTCTATTTCTAGATACAGAGTTAATACACAGGAGTGCTTCCTTTAGCAGAAAAATACACTTTTTAAAAATGTGCCCAAACCAGTAGCATTGGAATAAACCATAAATTGGATAAATAGTTCATTATCAAAGTTCCCAAACTCATATATGACTTGTGGTGCTTCCCAACACCCTCTACCATAGTCATAAGAGGACTGTGTGATAATGTCATGGGAAGGTACCATTTTAATAGTCACAAAAGTGTTCCACTTTGTGTTTTGTTTTTTGTTGTTTCCACATTGGATAAATTTTCATCTGCTTTTAAAATCAATGAATAGGACTCAAAGGCATAGAATTGTAATTAGGAGGGTCCCCAAGGGTCTCCCTGCTGGCGCAGGATATCTACGGCTAAAGCATCCCTGGCAGATCACCATCTAGACAGAGATTTGACAAAAACTTGGGCAAAATATCTCAAGATTAAAGACATGTCCCTTTGATCCTAAGGTCAGGTAGTTAGTGCACAGTTGTGTCACTCTTGATTAAATCAATTGAGAGGGCTGTCCCAACCCATTTCAGTTGATTGGATCAGGATCCATTCTCCAGAGCTAATAAGAAATGGTACATAACCTTCATAGACTATGCAGTCGTGGCTGATAGTGCATGCTGAGTACAGCAATCATACTGGAGCCATCGTGTTTCGCTCTGTGGGATGTTTTCCATTCTGTTGCTTGTATTCTACAGAAGTAGTTCTAGTCTCAGCCTTTGGTCCTCCAGATATTTTGGATGATAATTCTCAGATTCCTTCACTGCTGGCTATGACTGTTGGGAGCTGAAGTCCACTAACATCTAGGGACCCAAGTTTGAAAACCATGGTTCTGAAGTTCTATATATGTTGGTAGCAGTATATTGAAAATATGCAAGAGGTAGGGAGATTTGAGCTTAAATTGAAAGTTGTGTTGTAAAGTGATAGAGAAAGTTGAGCCATCCACTACATAGCCCATCACAAAATGTCAAGCATTCCTTTGAATCTATAACCATAGCAAGCCTTGTTGCAACCACACTCCAGCTACCTATGCATGTCTTGAATGAAAGTTGTGTTGTAAAGTGATAGAGAAAGTTGAGCCATCCACTACATAGCCCATCACAAAATGTCAAGCATTCCTTACTATACAGTAGCCCATCACAAAATGTCAAGCATTCCTTTGAATCTATAACCATAGCAAGCCTTGTCTTTTTTTGCCTTCTGGCTGAAACCTTTATGTTTCTGAGCAGATCTTTTCATTTTCTTCATAGGGTGTTCCTGGATCTCGTGGTCTCCCTGGATCTGATGGCAGAGCTGGTGTTATTGTAAGCAGACAACTACTTCTTCTGTTTTTCATCAGTTTTACAAATTAGTCAAGTAGGCATTTTTTCCCTACAAGGCAGAGAAACATTGATCTTACCACTATTCTTGTTCCCTCTGATTTTGAGCATCTCTCTTTGCAGGGACCTGCCGGCAACCGTGGTGCTACTGGTCTACCTGGTGCTAAAGGTCCCAACGGTGATACAGGTCGCCCTGGTGAACCTGGTCTGATGGGTGCAAGAGTAAGTATGGGTCAGGGTGGTGTATGTGACTTTGTAAGGCAGCAGCATCCAAATAAACTGATGGATGTAATAAGTTTTAGAACCCCTTTACATTCTGAAACTATATGGCTCAGTGACCCATTTTAAAAAAATGTTGTACACTTCATGGCAATTTAAATAAAGTTTAGAATTTCTAATGATGAGGGTTCTTTTTAAATTAAAAATTTTTTTAACCTTTCACAACTGTGGTGGGAGGTAGATTACTTATATTTCTATCTACAGATATAAAACAGCGACTGCAATCCTGTGAACACTTAGGTTGCAATCCTATACTCACGTACTTGGGAGCAAGACTCATTGAACTCAATGGGATTTGCTTCTAAATAGTCACATATAATATTACACTGTTGCTTGGGATTTATTACACGGAGTTCAATGGAGACATTTTCTGGTAAACATCTGTGATTTGTAGATAGCAGCACACCACTTTATTCTCTTTATCCATGTATTTAAGCATGCATGAGAGAAGAAAATTGATCAAGTTGTATTCCAGTTTCAAACAGGCCAAAAGGCAATATTAAGCTGAACTGTGTTTTTTAGGGTCTCCCTGGTCAATCTGGAAGCCCAGGACCTGCTGGCAAAGAAGGTGCTGTTGTAAGTATCTCACACCTTTTGCTTGATTTTAATGGCCTTTAGATTGTTCCTGGACTATTGATGTATCAAGAGATAAAAGAAGCAATAGAAGAGAGTGCATTGCTCAGATAGGTCAGGTAGTTTTAAATGAAATAGCTATCTGCGGGCAATGAAGCTGTGCCCTTAGAATAAGAATTTTGTGCTTTTCCTTTTAGGGTCTGCCTGGTGCTGATGGTCGTGCTGGCCCCATTGGTCCAGCTGGTCCAAGAGGTGAACCTGGCAACATAGGATTCCCAGGACCAAAAGGTCCCAATGTAAGTACTGTGAAGCTTGATTGTGTCATTGTATAACAACACAACAGCTTAAAGAGTTGTCCATGGCATCAGTCTCACACCATTGCATTTAATGCTTCTAATATTCCAGCAGTGAACACCAATCTGGTATTCCTAGTGTCATGTTAAAACAGTAGGCAGCCTCTGGCTTGACTGACATTGGCCTCCCATTCCAAATTTGGGTGCTAAGACCACTAAATATCCCTAGTTAAAGTCTACAAGGCTACACTGAAATTTCCTTTGCTTTACTCTGCCCCTTGTTGTGATCATCTGCAACCCTGTTTACTTGCTTACTTATTACATATTTGTCCAGTTTTGACTAAAAATAGCATTCAGATGGCTAACAGTATCATTAAAACCATTTAAATTAGTAATGCTATTTACAGCATTATAGTTGATTAAACAATTAAATGGCCGTATTGACAAGATGCATTTTCATGCCTTCTTGAGTGCATTGAGGGTGGGAAGCAATCCAACTCTTTTTTCCTTTTTTTCTTTTTCTTTTCTTTTTTGTTAAGTACCAAAGCTTATATATGCTTTCACAGGTTTGCGGAGCGGGGGGAAATCAGAGATGATCTTGGACAAGATGCTATCAGTGTGGGCTTTGCCCATTCAGTACTATCTCACAGTCCCTGCCAAATTATTGCTTCCTGGGAAGAGAGGTGATGAATCACGTGTCATCACCAAATGCTACTTGTCTTGCTTGCTACCTCTATTTACCTATCCCTTCTGAATCAGTGAGCAACTTGATGCAGTCATAAGCAGAAATTGTATCAGCTCCAGGGACGTCACACAGATGGTGGGCCTCCTGCTTGGGGCAGGGAGGCTAGCACATGTCCAGCCATTCTAACCCCTGACATTTCAGTCCTGATCTTGGAATATATGAGAGGTTTTTTGAAATACATATGTCAAATTAAAATAACTTGACTAAAGCTATGTTGCATTCTGATCCAATGTAATTTTCTTCTCTTTCTGTCATAGGGTGAACCTGGCAAACCTGGTGACAGAGGCAACGTTGGTGTTACCGGCTCACGGGTATGTACAACTCCTTTCTATCCTGTACCCCATTTAGGGGTATGTCATTTATGCAGAGATATTCAATATCTGTGAGAAAGACCTGTAGGTTATGGAAATAATTTATAAATGTTAGCAAGCTAGGTATATATCTAACTCACATTCAATCACCAGAGGCTAATATCTTGCATAATCCTCAATAGCATGACATTTTTTTTCCTTTCATATGATTGCTGAAAATGAAAATAGACTTGGTCTTCGAGTATCCTGCAGATAAATAAATAGGTTTATAAACCTATCCCATTAACATATTGTTTATTATTCCCTTATTTTTAATCCAAGCCAGGCAATTTTTTTTTGAAGAACGATGTGTGCAAGGGAGGGTATGTGTGTACATGGGCATGAGTGCAAATGCACAAACATGTGCATACACTACCAAGTAACTTTTGCATATGATCAGTATTAAAGCAGAATTTGAAAAATTCACTTTTCTGGACTATAACTGCAGCCAACATGGCTGTCTACAGATTTGATCCTTGGCATTATTACAATTCCAAGCTCTGGATGAAAGTCTATAGATCACATTTGATGAAGCAAGAAAACTTTAATTATTGTGTAGGTATCTATCAACAATTCTGAGACCTTTCTCTTTTTGCCAGAAAAATAAACATGCTATATGTTTCAGAGGAAGACTGTGTAGACCTTATTTAACTAAAGCTCTATTGTTTTAGGGTGCACCTGGTCCTGATGGAAACAATGGAGCTCAGGGAGCACCTGGTGTCATTGTAAGTACACAATCATAATTGTTAATCTCGGATGAAAACAAACAGAGCTCCTATGCCCCTCAGAGTGGCTGTCCATTAATTTCAGTGGGGAACATTGTTCTGCACATGCAATCCCAAGGTAGCCTCTGAAAAACAGGGGGAATACCTGTTTCATTACTTCTGTTTGGATGTCACAGTAAATTGAGTTTTTGCAGGACAGCAGTGAACATCAGCAAGCCTCAGGTTTCAGTGCTATCCACTCTTCTTTTCTGTTCTAGCACAGCATACAGGAGGAGAATTCCAATTAGATTACATTTGGACACTATACTAGATTTTGATTCTGGTTTGATTAAACTAGCCATTGTCATAGACTGTGGTCTGAAGTTGTGTCAATTCAAATAAACCATAGTTAAGAACAATCATAATTAGCGAGGTTCAGACAACCAAACGTACATGTTTTGCTTATTCAAAAGCAGAAATAGAAGCTTTGATACTCTTCCTCTCAGCCACAATGGAAATAAAAGGGGAGGAGATCCAGTATGAGAGTCTCACCTAGCTTTATTCCATCATAATAATGGTAGTTAAATCATAGTTTATTGTAATGTCAAAATACAGCCGCTATAAACTCTCGGTATACAAACATCATTATATCTCTGTCTCTATACCTCTACTTTAAGTTCATCACTCTTTTGTGTTTTATTTTCTCTAGGGCAATCCTGGTCCTAAAGGTGACGCTGGTCCAGCTGGTCCTCCTGGCTTCCAAGTAAGTGAAGTTATGATTAACCAAATACCAATTTGTTTGGTGGTTAATGTTGACAGCAGAATTTGGGCTCTTTGCAATTGAACATTACACTTGAAACAAACAGTGTGCCACATCTCAGTACATTTTAATTAATATGTAGTAACACACATATACACAACGCCATGACCGAGGGTGATAGAGACTTAATTAGCCTGCCAGCAAGGTTGATAATAAATGACTATGACACCTTGCTGAACCTGAGACACTGATTAGCTCAGCTCGCTCAGCTAGTTAGCACCTTAAAATAACAGGTCAAGATTAGTGACATTCTTTAAAGCCTCTTCTACTTATGTCTGAACATGCACATACTTGAAAGTAAACCGTGCCCAGCTTTACCTATTCTTTTCACTTTGAGCTTGAATATATGTAGTAGCATTTATGGAGATAAGAGACCCGCAGTGAATGGTTCTCATCAGATAAAATCAGAAAGTAGAAAACACAGGCTTCTCACTGTTTATGATGTCTTTAGGCACATCTGAAATGAGTGGTTGGTCAGTTGAACTGAGTAAGCATTTCCATTTATAAGAAACCACAGTACAGTAGTTTTGCTAGGCCTATAAATACCGTTTCCAAACCCAAGTTTCTCCACATGATCTCAAACTCTCATCAGCCCCAGCTAGCATCACCAGTGGTGAGGAGCAGTGGAGTTGTAGGCCAAATCATTTGGAGAAAACAAGATTTGAAAGGCCTTTGTAAAGGAACTAAGCTGTCTTGCACACTGCTTTGCTTTCATTTTAGCATGTTAATCTCAGAGGTTATTGAACATACTTCCATGCAGGTGGGGCTAAAATAAAGTCAGATTTCTGAGGTGCATAGAAAAGGCATTAGGCTGAAGACTGTGAATTTGATTCTCCATTCATAGAATAGCAAAAATTCCACAAATGCAAGGATATTTGCTAATGCTTTACTGCAGGACTGGCAGGTTCTCTTGCAACCATTTATATTGCATTAGAGAATGGCTCATGATTGTTTTTACTTCATTTCCTCCTTTCTTTTAGGGCCTTCCAGGTCCCTCTGGCCCAGTTGGTGAAGCTGGCAAGCCTGGTGAAAGGGTAAGTGGTGAACACACTCATTTGCAAATGAAACACCATCATATGTCCTACATAAGGGCCACAGACACAGCCAAAGGGAGAAAGTCCTGGTTACCCATATCAAGACTGAAGGATGCCTATGATGACGATGAACACTGAAAATATTCTCCTTTCCTCATATTGCTATGTATGTGGCCTTTAATGTGCCAGGTACAATAGCGGGTTCAAACAATTAAAGGACATGACCTAAAAGTTCTGGTTTTATGATGTTCCTGTGGAGGTAAACCCCACAACATAGTTAAATCCCATTTTTGGCTTTATGTCTCCCACTGCAAACACAAGACATGGTGGTCAGAAACAGCAGCCCAATACTTCCTAATCTTGACCTGAAATTCACCTCTTTCAAACAGAGGGATAAGGCAATTTAGTGTACCTATTGTGCGCTATTCCAGCCAACATTTCCTTGTCTCTAGTCATTCATCTGTGTAGAATATGCCTCATTCACCAGTGTGGAATACACTGTTAATCCTTAGACATGTGGATATTTAGTCATATAATAAATTAGTAGCTGTTCCCCCTCCACCAGAAATATGCATGGTCTTAAACTGATGCCTTGTTTAATGTTGACCAGTCTTTATTTTCAATCTAAATCACTCAGGGTGGTGTTTGTGATGTTCCCCCCACTTTTTAATCCTTGGAGTAATCCCTTGAGGTTATACTTAATCTGAGAGACAGTTCTGGTCCCAAGGGTTGTAAGCAACATTCCCTCTAGGTTTCTGTCCCCTGAGCAGGAGCGTTGCTTTGTGAGTGGGGGGATGAGGGCTTCATTCAAAACAGGAAGTAGACAAACCAGTTTCTGGCTGCCTGTGCGCAACCCAGCTCTGGGCAAGCACATGCATGTACACCTTAGAGGGAACATTTGTTGCAAGATGGCTTTATGGAGATCTGCGCATGGCACTGTGGCATATGAAAACTCCAGTATCCTAGCTTTTGCACCATGCAACCATTTACAGTATTCTACCATGAAATAAGATGGCACTCAGATTCATTTTCTTGGGCTATGATCATTCATCTTATACTAGCAGTTGAGTAAATAACAGTATAATTCTAACAAGATCAAATGTTAACATCTGAAAATATATGATGCACTTTGATCTGATATTCTCATACCTATGCAGAAATGTAAAGCCAGATTCTGATTGAAAATGTTTGACTTCTCTTTGTTACATTGGATGAAAAAATATCCTTAGCCAATAGCTAAAAGAATTCTTAAACAACAATGGAGAAAAATATGTGTAACTGGTTTCTCTCTCTTTTTTGTTTTTGCTTAGGGTATTCATGGTGAATTTGGTCTCCCTGGTCCTGCTGGTTCAAGAGTAAGTATACCTTTAGCTGTGCTTTACTCAGCTTTATTGCCATTATAGAAGACAGAGCTTAGAAAAGTTACCACTTTTTCACTACAGCTCTCAGGATCCTCCAGCTTGACTCTTGGTCATGTTATCTTAGGGACTCAGAGAACTGTAATTTTTTAAAAAGCACATCATGTTCTGGAGAAATCCACAGTCAACATAGAATCTTTTAATGGAAAAGTAAAAATAAAATACATATTTATATTATTTATTTTTTTATTTACAATATTTTTTTAGCCACACCATTACCAGTGGTCTCTGAGCAGCCAACTTCTCTAAAGTTCTGCCTATAAAATATCAAACTATATTAGCATTCTAAAAATTCATATAGTAAAAACCAACACAGTTATTTTCTGTGGGGAAAATTTCTAGGGGGAATTATTGCAACAGTTACGGAGAGAATATTGCTGTTGTTATGTTCTTTTGATGCAAGTAATATACTCACAGGCTAATATATAGAGGATGGCCAGTATCCTCTTATGGGGTTCAGTCAGCACAGTGGGAAAGAGCAAAAGCAAAAAGCAAAGTGTGCTGCTTATATACCACCCCGTAGTGCTTGAAGCACTCTCTGGGCGGTTTACAAGTTAATTAGGCTGGTTACACATTGCCCCCCCCCAGTGAGATGGATATTCATTTTACCGACCTCAGAAGAATAGGAGGCTGAGTCAACCTTGAGCCAGCTACCTGGGATTGAACCCCAGGTTGTGAGCACAGTTTTAGCTGCAGTACAGCGGTTTAACCACTGCACCACGTGGCTCTTCATATCACTGGAAAGATATCACTGGAGGCAACAGATTGCTACCATTCATCAATTTCAAGCTGCGCACAACTTTATATCATTGCACACAAGTTGTGCACACCCCAAAATCAAAAAAGAAACTCTTTAATTAGCAGGAGTCAGCCAGTAAGACCTCAGAACAGTCAACAGTCTACAAGTACTGTACATATGTGACCAGACACACATCCATAAAGGTGTATTCTTGTTTGGACAGCAATTGCTCAGACTGCTTGACACAAACTGAATTGTGAACTCGATAAGGCCAGGTTAGTCTGGCTTAGATGGAAGTATGCTTAGGAGAGCAGGATTTAGTGCACTTCCTTTAAAAAAAATCAGCGTCACTAGGACGAGGCTGTAGAAGTTCTCAGCTATGTTTTGGTTCTCACTAAATCGAAAATGATCCAAGGCTTGTGACAGCAACTCTCTAACCCAAGGGAAGGCAGCTTTGAAGGATCCAGCGGCCCATCTCAGAAATCAACAAAATCCAGGGAAAAATTCAAATCAAATCCTGCTCAAAGCCAGCCCATTTCCAATTCCATTTTTGTGGTTTGGGTTTTTCAGAGAGGATTAGGGAGTTTCACTTTATTTTACTGCAAAATCATTGAGCAAAAAGGGCTCCTTTTTTGTCCATTTTTTGTAAAGCAGGTGGGCATCTGGTGCCACACATAGCTTCTGGGTTACACTTTGCCCATCCCTGCCCTAAAAAAAATTTGGTGCAATTCTCCCACAGCTAAATTGAGCTAATTCTTCACTCTGAACCATATTCAGTAGCTATACATTTATGTGTGTTTGTAAGTGCAGACAGCATTCATTATCTGTATTGCACATTCCTTTCCATCTCTGTTGAACTCTCAACTTTCTCATTAAGCTGTTGGACTCCAGTTAACCTCAGATTAATCTTCTGCTTGCAGGGTGAGCGCGGCCCTCCAGGTGAAAGCGGTGCCACTGGTCCTGTTGGTCCCATTGGAAGCCGTGGTCCCTCTGGTGCTCCAGGACCTGATGGTAACAAGGTAAAACAGACTGTTATTTTTCTGAAAGACTGAGGAAGGCACTATCGTATCAATGTAGGGGCTGATAGTAACATTTTCTTGTCTGTCCATGAAACTCCGTATGTGACGGAAAGGCATATTTTTGGCCGCATATCTTTTATATTTACTTATTAAAATATTTTTGCCCCACCTTTCTCGTTGAAAAGGCTCCAAGGCAACTTACAATATTGAAAGACAAGATTTGACATTTAAAACAATGTGTATACAATGGTAGTTAATATCATTAAAATATAATTTTTGAAACTAAGAATAATGAGCAAAGAGGCATCTTACATCATTAAAAGACAATATTAGAGTTAAGAACAATAAGTATACTTTTTTTAAAAAAAGCCACTTTGAGAAATGGAAAATACAATAATGGAAAACACAAATAGTATTAAAAATCCAGTCAAAAAAGTAATGCATAATAATACATCTTGAAAACACACACACGTAGCTAGTTACTATCTTAAGAGGTTGCATCATGGAGAATAGGGAAATTGGGAAGTATTAGAACAAATTTTTTGATCAGATATTACAGGAACCATGTTCGATCTTTTCACTGGTCCTTGTTGCTAAGGGTATACCTTTGAAAGGGGGTGTCTGTGATACAGAGAGACCTCAGTTCTCACATTTTGAAGTTTATGTGCATGCATTGGTCCTTCCCAGTTCTTTGCTGTGTGAATAGTGGCTCCACATCAAGAATCTAAGTTTGATTTTGGAGCTCTTTTGAATGTGTGCATGGAATAGCTTTTTAGGTGAAAGGGACCTGGAAACCTCACATTGCATCTAGAATACCATTTGTTCACTTACCTACTTGTTACCTTCATACCCACCTTTCTTCCAGTGAGCACAACGTAGCATACATAGTTTTCTTCTCCAAATTGTATTTGTCACCATAACCTTGTGAGGTAGGCCAGACTGTTTGTGTGGGTTGGAGACATGCATTGAGACAAAGGTCACAAGACCCAAGGTCACAAGAGAGTTCATTAGATCTTCCAAGCCCAAATTCAATGCTTTAACCACTAATCACACCCTCTTTAGGTCATGGTCTGGATGGATGGATGGATTTAGTAAGTCTGTAAGGTAGTAAATATGCATCATTTGTAGGCCTTGATCCAGTTTGCTTCAATCCACAGGTGACATTGTAGGGATGTATATGTTTAACGGCATGAAGGGTGGCTGTAGCATTAGTGATGTTGTGGGGCCTGCAAATAGAAAGGAACCGTTGTTTTATGGAGAAGGAGCTTTCTAGGTGGTGATGTGTGTTACAATGCTTTCTTCAAAATGGGGTAAGCCACCCCACCTGCATTTGCTGCCTGCCAAGTCACAGGTTGATCAAAGCTCCGGACATCTGCCCTAATGAGCATCAGTAGAAAGGGATGTTCTACAACTCTTTCTAAACAGATGAACTCTGATCCTAGGAAAAATGTTTTTAGTTGGCCATCAGGATTCAGGCCCTTAATGATGTGTGATGTGTCCAGTGTTTTTACCAGAATAACTGAAGACACCAGAAGCTTTTGCTTAAAATCTTTTGTTTGTTAGTCACTCTAATAAGTGCATATATATATTTTAGTGATTAATTACATCTTTTGAACCAGTTCAGAAATTTAGTCACTCTAATAAGTGCATATATATATATATTTTAATGGTTAATTACATCTTTTGAACCAGTTCAGAAAACTCTTGATTGAGGTGCTGTTTAGTTCTCATTGTCTGTTTATATACTGCGAGCAAAGAAGATACAATTCATTGGATCCCTGGACACAACCAAAGTTTGAATGGATCCAGTTTAACATCAGATGAACATTGAACATCTCATGGACATTCTCCAACTTAAGCCATTTAAATCAGGAATACTGGGTGCAGAAATGTGGTCTGACCATTTCCACTTGGGACACACTTATGTATTTCCAAAGATATACTTGATGAATGGAAAATTAAATAACATGATAAGAAACACTCCACATGTGATCTTCTTTAGCTGGTTTTTAATTTATAAACCAGACACCGGGAAAGTTGTTTTTTTCTGGACAATGGCTCCTAGAATTCCCAGCCAACATAGTCATGCTGGTTGTGAGATTCTGGATATTGTAGGCCAGAAAAGTAAATGTTCAAACCTGTGGTACAAAAATCAGGCAGTACTCAGTAATGTTGTATTTTCAGAGCACTAATACACGACTGACACTGACAGTAGGCAGTGCCGTGCAATACCGATTTTTCACGAAACCTGGGGCCTCTCAACATTCAACATTTCATTTTTCTTGTTCTGCTAGGGCGAGCCCGGTAATGTTGGTGCAGCTGGTGCCCCAGGACCAGCTGGTTCTAACGGAATCCCTGGAGAAAGAGGTGCTGCTGGCATGCCAGGAGGCAAAGGTGAAAAGGTAAGACCCCCAAAAGACAGCAAGAGTCCAGAGGCTTTCACAAGGTTTTCCTCAAGGGAAGAGAGTGAGAGCTGTATTCTTTGAATACAGAAGATTCCACATCAAATCCTCATTATCTCCAGGGAGATCTGGAACTAATCCTTACCTGAAACACTGGAGAGCTGTTTTCAGTCATTGTAGACTAATGGTTTTCAACAGGTAACCTAGGCGTTCTTGGACAGCAATTCCTGGAAGCCTTCAGCACCAGCTGTGTTGGCCTGGAGTTTTGAGAGTTGTAGTCCGAGAACACCTGGGTTACCCAAGGTTGGGAATCACTGGTGTACACAATAGTGAGGTAGATGTACTCTTTGTATGACTCAGTATTCCCGTGCTCCTGTTTTTGAAAAAGGTATCTACAGATCTTAGGCACCTAGTCAAAGAAGGCTTTACTAGCTATTAAGGAAGGAGAGAATACTCAGCACATTCTTCATTCTTGTTGACTGAGGCTGTTTTAACACAAAACACCCTGTGAAATTCCTCTCCTATAGACAGGTTCTCTTCAGGTTCTATGTAATCTGTGTGAAATATTTCTAGCATTACAGTGCCCCTTTAGACAAAGCAAGAGTCATCCTTTGCACTTTTCACAGTGCCTCTTTAGACAAAGCAAGAGTCATCCTTTGCACAATTTGCACAGTTATGCACAAACATGCAAATTTATGCAAAACATCTTTTCCACCAATGCAAAAACACTGTGGAGATTCAAAGACCATGGCATCACCTGACCATCTGTTCTAGTTAGAACAATGTTGCAGTTCCTCATCCTTGTCTATAATGACAAGTCAAATGAGGATTTATATCCCTACTAAACATTTCTTGACTCCCAATCCTAAACATTTGTACTGATGCATGTTCCTATGATACTCTGAGAATATCCATTCTTCAGCTAACCAGCGGATTCTCAGAAGCCTTAGGTTTAGGCTGCTAGGCTTAGAAATTATCTGGTCTGAATTATTTCTGTACCAATTTATATCCCACCATTACTTCCGGTGTGTGTTGTCTGTTCCTTCCCATTTATCCACATAAGAACCCTATGAAGTAGGTTGGGATGACAGAAAGTGCTTGATTTCCCAGTGAATTTCACGGGTCAGTGGAGTCTTTCTGAAGTGCTTGGCTGTGTGTACTTTATGCCACATTGCTCTCAATGACAATACCTGGGTAGATCTGCCACCTTCCTTCCCTTCGCTGCTTCAAATCCAGTTACAGTGAGGAAACTAGAAACCTGGGCCATATAAACCATCCCCCTACACACACACACACCAATGGCTCCTTGAAACAGTGATTATTACAATTCATTCTGTGTTGTTCTTTCATTTCAGGGCCCAACAGGCTTCAGAGGAGAACCTGGAGCAACAGGAAGAGATGGTTCCCGTGTAAGCATGCTCATGTTACTTTATGTGCTACAACTCTTCTGTACAGGATTTTTTTACATATATATTTGGAAGATTAAGAGCATCCTCTAAAATAGTTAGAAGGTGTGAACTATATATATATATATTCTAGTCATCTATAACATGTTTTGGGTCCTAGATTTTTTTTAACAGAGGCTTTTTATAGAACTCGATAGACTTGGAAACAAGATGCAGGCACTCAGTATATCTTGTTTTCGACAACAAAACGCTTCCCCATCACTGCCGTTGCTGAAAATTTGGGGCTAGAACAGGCAAATCTGGCCCTAATATTCTTTGATTTTGCTCGCTCATGATTCGAACCAACTCATGTCCGTCTAAATCAGTTGATGCAGTGTCTAATGCAGTTATACTGTATTTTCCTTTATGATCTACATAGTTAGGTCGCATATCAGAACAGATTTCAATTGCTTGTTCATTTTCACTGACAATTCCAAACAATGCTAGCTTTTAAAAGCACTAGCGTCTTCATTTGTGCAGTTATCCATAATTTGCCAGTGTTCTTTTGCTACGATCTGAACCAGAGGATACAACATGAGATTCAAGCATATCATTTCACTTGACTTTCAGGGTATCCCTGGGGCTGTTGGTGCTCCTGGACCTGCTGGAGGTGCTGGTGAAAGGGTGAGTACCAGTCTTTTCAAATACAGAAACCCGTCCCACTAAAAGGGTTGAAAATATTCAGGCATGCAGAGAATACAGCTGGGGTTTGCACATGTGCAGAATACAAACATATGCACAGACAGAGAGGACAGGACTCTTCCCCTCCTGGTTATCATTTGCCAAGATGATGATAGCTGATGTCGTAGTCCTTGCAGCTCAGAATGCCCTGGAGAGGTTTAGTGGGCTTTCCAAATCTGTTTCATAATTTTTAAACAATGTTTTTAAATTTTATATGCTTTAGTTTTAAAACTTTAATTGGTACAATGGTAGTTATATGTGACTTTTGAAAATGAGTTTTATAGGCTACCTCAGATCCTTGAGAAAAACAGGGTTGAAATTAATTGATTAGTTACGATGAGGCTGTGTACAACACACCACACATCCTTTAATATCTGATACTACATAATTAAATATTATTTAGAATTTAAACTTGCTGAACTTAGATCCCTTTAAAAGCAATGGAACAAGTTTGTTGCGGAATGAATGCAGGCCCTGGGTTTGCAGAGTAAAACCACTTAGATGTTTTGATCAGTAGGGATGATTATAACTAGTGCTGCAGTAAATTTGGAAGTGCAAGTACAGTATGCATCAAGACAATCTGCATAACCATCACACCCATAGTGAGAGTGTAAAAATTCGGGCAGCTGGGTCAGTCCATAAAAACAAATGAGGAGCAGGTGCTTTGTAAATATAATGGCTCTTAATAACCTGGTCAACACCAAAGCACCTTCAAATATTTTGCATTACCACAGGGACAGGTTTAAACAATATAGTGTCTCCAGATTACTTTCCTAGCTACTGTGGGGATTGCAACTAAGGTTAGAGAGATCAAGGCAGATAATAGATGATGACATAATCCATCATATTCAGAAAGTCCTGGGATTATTTGGCCCCAAGAGCTGTGGCTGAATCATGTCACTGGTGATGGCATCCCCTGCCACCCCCACCCCTTTGGACTTCCCTATTCCCTTTAAGCTGAGGTGCAATACACGCAATAAGTGGGACGGGGGGGGGTAATGAAGGATACAGATTTCCCCTGAAGTCATAAATCATTGAGAGCCATTCCTGTTGTCATGCAAAGTATTCTGGAGTAAGTAGGTTTTTAGGGGTAATTGAGGCCTATTAACTTTGCAAAAGACCTGCTAAAATTGTTTTCTGATACTGATGGACCCAGACAGATGCAATTTTAGCTTTTGCTTTTGACTTGCAGTTTGAATTCTTCTACCAACTGTGGTCAAAGAGCATTTGCCAAGGGGTCCAGTGAAGAAAGCCAGTAATTCTGCACTATGTGCTCAGAAATCTTTAGCCTTGTGTTTCTGAAATAGCAATACTTCCCCTCCCCCACAGTGTGCCACTCAACACACTGCATTTAATACAAGTTCCAGAATACAATGGCCAGAATCTAACTGGTGATCATTTAAGAATTACATAAATTCCTGCAGCTAATTGCAACCAGTTGGTGAAGCTGCATTTTTGGGCCTGACAAAACACACAAGGGACCATA